TAGTAGGTCATGTTAACACAAATCAAACATTGCACCAGTAGTAGGCCATGTTAACACAAACATTGCACCAGTAGTAGGCCATGTTAACACAAATCAAACATTGCACCAGTAGTAGGTCATGTTAACACAAATCAAACATTGCACCAGTAGTAGGCTATGTTAACACAAATCAAACATTGCACCAGTAGTAGGCCATGTTAACACAAATCAAACATTGCACCAGTAGTAGGTCATGTTAACACAAATCAAACATTGCACCAGTAGTAGGACATGTTAACACAAATCAAACATTGCACCAGTAGTAGGTCATGTTAACACAAATCAAACATTGCACCAGTAGTAGGCCATGTTAACACAAACATTGCACCAGTAGTAGGCCATGTTAACACAAACATTGCACCAGTAGTAGGCCATGTTAACACAAATCAAACATTGCACCAGTAGTAGGCCATGTTAACACAAATCAAACATTGCACCAGTAGTAGGACATGTTAACACAAATCAAACATTGCACCAGTAGTAGGCCATGTTAACACAAACATTGCACCAGTAGTAGGCCATGTTAACACAAATCAAACATTGAACCAGTAGTAGGCCATGTTAACACAAATCAAACATTGCACCAGTAGTAGGCCATGTCAACACAAATCAAACATTGCACCAGTAGTAGGCCATGTTAACACAAACATTGCACCAGTAGTAGGCCATGTTAACACAAACATTGCACCAGTAGTAGGCCATGTTAACACAAATCAAACATTGCACCAGTAGTAGGCCATGTTAACACAAATCAAACATTGCACCAGTAGTAGGACATGTTAACACAAATCAAACATTGCACCAGTAGTAGGCTATGTTAACACAAATCAAACATTGAACCAGTAGTAGGCCATGTTAACACAAATCAAACATTGCACCAGTAGTAGGCCATGTTAACACAAATCAAACATTGCACCAGTAGTAGGCCATGTCAACACAAATCAAACATTGCACCAGTAGTAGGCCATGTTAACACAAACATTGCACCAGTAGTAGGCCATGTTAACACAAATCAAACATTGCACCAGTAGTAGGCCATGTTAACACAAATCAAACATTGCACCAGTAGTAGGCCATGTTAACACAAATCAAACATTGCACCAGTAGTAGGACATGTTAACACAAATCAAACATTGCACCAGTAGTAGGCCATGTTAACACAAACATTGCACCAGTAGTAGGTCATGTTAACACAAATCAAACATTGCACCAGTAGTAGGACATGTTAACACAAATCAAACATTGCACCAGTAGTAGGCCATGTTAACACAAATCAAACATTGCACCAGTAGTAGGACATGTTAACACAAATCAAACATTGCACCAGTAGTAGGCCATGTTAACACAAACATTGCACCAGTAGTAGGTCATGTTAACACAAACATTGCACCAGTAGTAGGCCATGTCAACACAAATCAAACATTGCACCAGTAGTAGGCCATGTTAACACAAACATTGCACCAGTAGTAGGTCATGTTAACACAAACATTGCACCAGTAGTAGGCCATGTTAACACAAATCAAACATTGCACCAGTAGTAGGCCATGTCAACACAAACATTGCACCAGTAGTAGGCCATGTTAACACAAATCAAACATTGCACCAGTAGTAGGCTATGTTAACACAAATCAAACATTGCACCAGTAGTAGGCTATGTTAACACAAATCAAACATTGCACCAGTAGTAGGCTATGTTAACACAAATCAAACATTGAACCAGTAGTAGGCCATGTTAACACAAATCAAACATTGCACCAGTAGTAGGCCATGTTAACACAAATCAAACATTGCACCAGTAGTAGGCTATGTTAACACAAATCAAACATTGCACCAGTAGTAGGCTATGTTAACACAAATCAAACATTGCACCAGTAGTAGGCTATGTTAACACAAATCAAACATTGAACCAGTAGTAGGCCATGTTAACACAAATCAGACATTGCACCAGTAGTAGGTCATGTTAACACAAATCAAACATTGCACCAGTAGTAGGCCATGTTAACACAAATCAAACATTGCACCAGTAGTAGGCCATGTCAACACAAATCAAACATTGCACCAGTAGTAGGACATGTTAACACAAATCAAACATTGCACCAGTAGTAGGCCATGTTAACACAAATCAAACATTGCACCAGTAGTAGGTCATGTTAACACAAATCAAACATTGCACCAGTAGTAGGCCATGTTAACACAAATCAAACATTGCACCAGTAGTAGGCCATGTTAACACAAATCAAACATTGCACCAGTAGTAGGCTATGTTAACACAAATCAAACATTGCACCAGTAGTAGGCAATGTTAACACAAACATTGCACCAGTAGTAGGTCATGTTAACACAAACATTGCACCAGTAGTAGGCCATGTCAACACAAATCAAACATTGCACCAGTAGTAGGCCATGTTAACACAAATCAAACATTGCACCAGTAGTAGGCCATGTCAACACAAATCAAACATTGCACCAGTAGTAGGTCATGTTAACACAAATCAAACATTGCACCAGTAGTAGGCCATGTTAACACAAATCAAACATTGCACCAGTAGTAGACCATGTTAACACAAACATTGCACAAGTAGTAGGTCATGTTAACACAAACATTGCATCAGTAGTAGGCCATGTCAACACAAATCAAACATTGCACCAGTAGTAGGCCATGTTAACACAAATCAAACATTGCACCAGTAGTAGGCCATGTCAACACAAATCAAACATTGCACCAGTAGTAGGTCATGTTAACACAAATCAAACATTGCACCAGTAGTAGGCCATGTTAACACAAATCAAACATTGCACCAGTAGTAGACCATGTTAACACAAACATTGCACAAGTAGTAGGTCATGTTAACACAAACATTGCACCAGTAGTAGGCCATGTTAACACAAACATTGCACCAGTAGTAGGACATGTTAACACAAACATTGCACCAGTAGTAGGCCATGTTAACACAAATCAAACATTGCACCAGTAGTAGGACATGTTAACACAAATCAAACATTGCACCAGTAGTAGGCCATGTTAACACAAATCAAACATTGCACCAGTAGTAGGCCATGTTAACACAAACATTGCACCAGTAGTAGGCCATGTTAACACAAATCAAACATTGCACCAGTAGTAGGCCATGTTAACACAAACATTGCACCAGTAGTAGGCCATGTTAACACAAACATTGCACCAGTAGTAGGCCATGTTAACACAAATCAAACATTGCACCAGTAGTAGGCCATGTTAACACAAATCAAACATTGCACCAGTAGTAGGCCATGTTAACACAAATCAAACATTGCACCAGTAGTAGGCCATGTCAACACAAATCAAACATTGCACCAGTAGTAGGCCATGTTAACACAAATCAAACATTGCACCAGTAGTAGGCCATGTTAACACAAACATTGCACCAGTAGTAGGCCATGTTAACACAAATCAAACATTGCACCAGTAGTAGGCCATGTTAACACAAATCAAACATTGCACCAGTAGTAGGTCATGTTAACACAAATCAAACATTGCACCAGTAGTAGGCTATGTTAACACAAATCAAACATTGCACCAGTAGTAGGCCATGTTAACACAAATCAAACATTGCACCAGTAGTAGGTCATGTTAACACAAATCAAACATTGCACCAGTAGTAGGCCATGTTAACACAAACATTGCACCAGTAGTAGGCCATGTTAACACAAATCAAACATTGCACCAGTAGTAGGTCATGTTAACACAAATCAAACATTGCACCAGTAGTAGGCTATGTTAACACAAATCAAACATTGCACCAGTAGTAGGCCATGTTAACACAAATCAAACATTGCACCAGTAGTAGGTCATGTTAACACAAATCAAACATTGCACCAGTAGTAGGACATGTTAACACAAATCAAACATTGCACCAGTAGTAGGTCATGTTAACACAAATCAAACATTGCACCAGTAGTAGGCCATGTTAACACAAACATTGCACCAGTAGTAGGCCATGTTAACACAAACATTGCACCAGTAGTAGGCCATGTTAACACAAATCAAACATTGCACCAGTAGTAGGCCATGTTAACACAAATCAAACATTGCACCAGTAGTAGGACATGTTAACACAAATCAAACATTGCACCAGTAGTAGGCCATGTTAACACAAACATTGCACCAGTAGTAGGCCATGTTAACACAAATCAAACATTGAACCAGTAGTAGGCCATGTTAACACAAATCAAACATTGCACCAGTAGTAGGCCATGTCAACACAAATCAAACATTGCACCAGTAGTAGGCCATGTTAACACAAACATTGCACCAGTAGTAGGCCATGTTAACACAAACATTGCACCAGTAGTAGGCCATGTTAACACAAATCAAACATTGCACCAGTAGTAGGCCATGTTAACACAAATCAAACATTGCACCAGTAGTAGGACATGTTAACACAAATCAAACATTGCACCAGTAGTAGGCCATGTTAACACAAACATTGCACCAGTAGTAGGCCATGTTAACACAAATCAAACATTGAACCAGTAGTAGGCCATGTTAACACAAATCAAACATTGCACCAGTAGTAGGCCATGTCAACACAAATCAAACATTGCACCAGTAGTAGGCCATGTTAACACAAATCAAACATTGCACCAGTAGTAGGTCATGTTAACACAAATCAAACATTGCACCAGTAGTAGGCCATGTTAACACAAATCAAACATTGCACCAGAGGACATAAACCAACCTGGAGGACATAAACCAACCTGGAGGACATAAACCAACCTGGAGGACATAAACCAACCTGGAGGACATAAACCAACCTGGAGGACATAAACCAACCTGTAGGACATAAACCAACCTGGAGGACATAAACCTGGAGGACATAAACCAACCTGTAGGACATAAACCAACCTGGAGGACATAAACCAACCTGCAGTACATAAACCAACCTGGAGGACATAAACCAACCTGGAGGACATAAACTAACCTGGAGGGTTCTACTTGCTGCAGTATTTGCTTCCAGATTGCGTGTGCCAATAATTGCGTCAGTCTCTCATGTTCACATGTTGCTGGATGGCCTAAGAAAGACTGGACCTCACTGTGTAAGCTGGTCATCTGAGTGGCCACTTTATTCAAACTGGTTTCCTCAGGCAGTCTACATGTACACAATTGACTTCATTGAGTTTAGGTCATTCTAAATGTACACAAGTGACCTCATTAAGTTTAGGTCATTCTAAATGTACACAACTTCATTAAGTTTAGGTCATTCTAAATGTACACAAATGACTTCACTATAGTTAAGGTCACCTTTTGCCTTCATTGGGGGAAAAGAATTCCTATTGTTAGGCGAGAAAAAAGCATAGCGAAGTACAATATTTATTCTATCAGAAGAGATCCTAAAGAGAAAATGGAAATGGATTGGCCACACACTCAGGAAGCCTGTATCCAGCATAACAAGACAGGCCCTCACCTGGAATCATGATTAATTTGGTCAGGGAGTTATACGTAAGGAAATCTTCAATTACTTTGAATTCATTAGTCCATACCTGAGTTTGCATGAGTCTGGTGTGAGGGAAAGAACTCTGACAATAAAATCAACACATTTCTCTAAGCTCTCGTCTTCAAGGTGAGCACCAATCAAGGGAAACAACTCCTTAAATTGTATAAAATTGTCAAGTGGTTTTTGAAGAATGCAGGTATCATCCAGTGGCTGAAACAATTACAAGAAACTGATCAATCAACACATGAACCTGATCAATCAACACATGAACCTCATCAATCAACACATGAACCTGATCAATCAACAAATGAACCTGATCAATCAACACATGAACCTGATCAATCAACACATGAACCTGATCAATCAACACATGAACCTGATCAATCAACACATGAACCTGATCAATCAACACATGAACCTGATCAATCAACACATGAACCTGATCAATCAACACATGAACCTGATCAATCAACACATGAACCTCATCAATCAACACATGAACCTGATCAATCAACACATGAACCTGATCAATCAACACATGAACCTGATCAATCAACACATGAACCTGATCAATCAACACATGAACCTGATCAATCAACACATGAACCTGATGAATTAAAAGATGAAACACCTACACTCCACAATGTGAAGACCATAGTTTCAGTGAGTACTGGTAGATTAAAGAGATCCGAGACAAGTTGCTTGATATTCAAATCCTGCTTGTAATTCTCCTGCACGTTTCTATGACAACCAGCTAGCTTAGTTCTCTGCAGGGCCAGTTCAACTTTGACCTTCTGATCCATATTCTGAAAAATATGGCAATAGCCAGTTTATGGCAATAGCCAGTTTATGGCAATAGCCAGTTTATGGCAATAGCCAGTTTATGGCAATAGCCAGTTTATGGCAATAGCCAGTCTATGATTTCTTTCTAAAACTTTATCCTCTATTTTACAAAAAGAAGAAAACTAGGTAAAATCAGGTAATAATTTAAAAAAGACTGTTAACAACCAACACCTAATTAACAATCAACACCTAATTAGATTGGTGTTTACCTACCTGGACTAACTTAGAACTCAGCACATCATTCAATTCATCTTTTTCCACATTTTCTCTCCATCGAGGAAAATGTAGAATTTTGGCCAGCGTCCAAGTTGAGAGAAGTTCTTTAGCCTCAGCCATCTTGTTACCCTAGAGGGAGAGTGTTCAAGACAGGAACAAGAATCAAACCTACTGGACCAACCTACTGGACCAACCTACTGGACCAACCTACTGGACCAACCTACTGGACCAACCAACCTATTGGACCAACCTACTGGACCAACCTATTGGACCAACCTACTGGACCAACCTACTGGACCAACCTATTGGACCGACCAACCTACTGGACCAACCAACCTACTGGACCAACCTACTGGACCAACCAACCTATTGGACCAACCTACTGGACCAACCAACCTATTGGACCAACCAACCTATTGGACCAACCTACTGGACCAACCAACCTACAGGACCAACCAACCTACTGGACCAACCTACTGGACCAACCAACCTACTGGACCAACCTACTGGACCAACCAACCTATTGGACCAACCTACTGGACCAACCAACCTATTGGACCAACCTACTGGACCAACCAACCTACTGGACCAACCTACTGGACCAACCAACCTACTGGACCAACCAACCTATTGGACCAACCAACCTACTGGACCAACCTACTGGACCAACCTATTGGACCAACCAACCTACTGGACCAACCTACTGGACCAACCTACTGGACCAACCAACCTATTGGACCAACCTACTGGACCAACCTACTGGACCAACCAACCTATTGGACCAACCAACCTACTGGACCAACCTACTGGACCAACCAACCTACTGGACCAACCAACCTATTGGACCAACCAACCTACTGGACCAACCAACCTACTCGACCAACCAACCTATTGGACCAACCAACCTACTGGACCAACCAACCTACTGGACCAACCAACCTATTGGACCAACCCATGAAATTTGTTTTTAAAAAAAAAGAAAATTGAACCTTACATTCTTCTGGAACAGAGGCGTCAAGATGTCCGCCTCAATCAAATGCAACATCTGTCGTGTCTTCTGGTAGAGCAAACCACCTGACCTTTGGTCCAGCAGACGGCAGTTGGTCAACAAACAGGACAATAGGCTCAATGTCCATGTCAGTCCTGGTGTTTCTTCTACACAAGAAATAAATCATTTGGCTGGATCATAATATGGACAATTGAGTGGATTAATGTGAGGACAACTGAATGGATTAATGTATGGACAACTGAGTGGATTAATGTAAGGACAACTGAGTGGATTAATGTAAGGACAACTGAGTGGATTAATGTAAGGACAACTGAGTGGATTAATGTATGGACAACTGAGTGGATTAATGTGAGGACAACTGAATGGATTAATGTGAGGACAACTGAGTGGATTAATGTGAGGACAACTGAGTGGATTAATGTATGGACAACTGAGTGGATTAATGTATGGACAACTGAGTGGATTAATGTGAGGACAACTGAATGGATTAATGTGAGGACAACTGAGTGGATTAATGTAAGGTCAACTGAGTGGATTAATGTGAAGACAACTGAGTGGATTAAATTGAGGACAACTAAGTGGATTAATGTGAGGTCAACTGAGTGGATTAATGTGAGGACAACTGAGTGGATTAATGTATGGTCAACTGAGTGGATTAATGTGAAGACAACTGAGTGGATTAAATTGAGGACAACTAAGTGGATTAATGTGAAGACAAATGAGTGGATTAATGTGAAGACAAATGAGTAAATAAATGTATGGACAACTGAGTGGATTAATGTGGGGACAACTGAGTGGATTAATGTGGGGACAACTGAGTGGATTAATGTGAGGACAACTGAATGGATTAATGTGAGGACAACTGAGTGGATTAATGTAAGGTCAACTGAGTGGATTAATGTGAAGACAACTGAGTGGATTAAATTGAGGACAACTAAGTGGATTAATGTGAGGTCAACTGAGTGGATTAATGTGAGGACAACTGAGTGGATTAATGTATGGTCAACTGAGTGGATTAATGTGAAGACAACTGAGTGGATTAAATTGAGGACAACTAAGTGGATTAATGTGAAGACAAATGAGTGGATTAATGTGAAGACAAATGAGTAAATAAATGTATGGACAACTGAGTGGATTAATGTGGGGACAACTGAGTGGATTAATGTATGGTCAACTGAGTGGATTAATGTGAAGACAACTGAGTGGATTAAATTGAGGACAACTGAGTGGATTAAATTGAGGACAACTGAGTGGATTAATGTATGGTCAACTGAGTGGATTAATGTGAAGACAAATGAGTGGATTAATGTGAAGACAAATGAGTAAATAAATGTATGGACAAATGAGTGGATTAATGTGATGACAACTAAGTGGATTAATGTGAGGTCAACTGAGTGGATTAATGTAAGGACAACTGAGTGGATTAATGTATGGTCAACTGAGTGGATTAATGTGAGGACAACTGAGTGGATTAATGTATGGTCAACTGAGTGGATTAATGTATGGTCAACTGAGTGGATTAATGTGAGGACAACTGAGTGGATTAATGTATGGTCAACTGAGTGGATTAATGTATGGTCAACTGAGTGGATTAATGTGAGGACAACTAAGTGGATTAATGGGAGGTCAACTGAGTGGATTAATGTGAGGACAAATGAGTAAATAAATGTATGGACACATGTATGGACAACTTAATAGACACAAGAGTGGACAACTGAGTGGACAACTGAGTGGACAAATGTATGGTATTGGACAAACATAGGTGGACAATGTCTGGGGACACAAGATGACAGCCAACCTGTTGCTTGACGGACCAGATCAGTTGCAGACTTGTGTAGTTTTTCCAGGAGCTCCAGCATAGTGGTCTGAGGCACTTCATTAAACATCACACACAAACTGTCAAATTTATACACAAATTGTATCACACACGATTGCACACTACCACAAGAAAATGCACATATAGCTCTACAGCTAGTAAACTCACCTCTTGTGAAAGTGAGGCAAGACTTTAAAGCTGGACATTGTAGACGGGCATTCCACCACCACCTTCAATATGACGTCAAGCAAATCTGATGTACGGCGAAGTTTGACATACAGCAGGATTAGCTCCCCTAAAAACAGGTCCCTGGTGTCCGTCTCATGGTCTGGCAGCTGAAAGTCAAAACAAACTAAATAGGATCCTACTATTCATGGCCACTTTAGGCCAAAACTAAATAGGATCCTACTATTCATGGCCACTTTAGGCCAAAACTAAATAGGATCCTACTATTCATGGCCACTTTAGGCCAAAACTAAATAGGATCCTACTATTCATGGCCACTTCAGGCCAAAACTAAATAGGATCCTACTATTCATGGCCACTTCAGGCCAAAACTAAATAGGATCCTACTATTCATGGCCACTTTAGGCCAAAACTAAATAGGATCCTACTATTCATGGCCACTTTAGGCCAAAACTAAATAGGATCCTACTATTCATGGCCACTTTAGGCCAAAACTAAATAGGATCCTACTATTCATGGCCACTTCAGGCCAAAACTAAATAGGATCCTACTATTCATGGCCACTTCAGGACAAAACTAAATAGGATCCTGCTATTCATGGCCACTTCAAGACTTAACTAAATAGGATCCTACTATTCATGGCCACTTTAGGCCAAAACTAAATAGGATCCTACTTTTCATGGCCACTTTAGGCCAAAACTAAATAGGATCCTACTATTCATGGCCACTTCAGGACAAAACTAAATAGGATCCTGCTATTCATGGCCACTTCAAGACTTAACTAAATAGGATCCTACTATTCATGGCCACTTTAGGCCAAAACTAAATAGGATCCTACTTTTCATGGCCACTTTAGGCCAAAACTAAATAGGATCCTACTATTCATGGCCACTTTAGGCCAAAACTAAATAGGATCCTACTATTCATGGCCACTTCAAGACTTAACTAAATAGGATCCTACTATTCATGGCCACTTCAGGCCAAAACTAAATAGGATCCTACTATTCATGGCCACTTCAGGACAAAACTAAATAGGATCCTACTATTCATGGCCACTTTACGCCTTAATAAATAGGATCCTACTTATCATTCATGACCACTTCAGGCCAGAAAATTAGAAATAATTCTCATTATATTTTTTATTCTAATTAATAATTAAAATCAACTGTGTTGTGTAAAAGACTAAAACAACCAATAGCTTAGAAGAAACAGTAACTTGGTGCTCTGTTCAAGAACCCATTTCTGCTTCTTGTTTGCTACTGACATCTACACACCTGTGCTAACAAACTCCTGCCAATGACTTGCTTCCAGAACTTTTCAACAACGACATGGTTGATGCCCAGGACAGCACGCATGTAGGCAAACCAATTGGTACAGCTGGGAAGGACATTTGAAATATTAGTAGCAACAATTTTCATCTGCTTTACAAATGAACTCAAACTTTACATCTGACTGGTTACAACTGACCACACAATTTACAACTGACCACACAATTTACAACTAACCACACAATTTACAACTGACCACACAATTTATAACTGACCACACAATTTACAACTGACCACACAATTTACAACTGACCACACAATTAACAACTGACCACACAATTTACAACTGACCACACAATTTATAAATGACCACATAATTTACAACTAACCACACAATTTACAACTGACCACACAATTTACAACTAACCACACAATTTACAACTGACCACACAATTTATAACTGACCACACAATTTACAACTGACCACACAATTAACAACTGACCACACAATTAACAACTGACCACACAATTTACAACTGACCACACAATTTACAACTGACCACACAATTTACAACTGACCACACAATTTACAACTGACCACACAATTTATAACTGACCACACAATTTACAACTGACCACACAATTAACTACTGACCACACAATTTACAACTGACCCTACAATTTATAAATGACCACATAATTTACAACTGACCACACAATTTACAACTGACCACACAATTTGTATAACTGATCACATAACTTACATCTGAAAACACAATTTGCAACAATATTTTAAAACTGACCACCAATTTACAACCGAGTAAACAATTTTGAACTGACCAGTGTTTTTCTACCACCCTTGCAGTGAGATCAAAAAACCACTTGAGCAGGTCACTGTCTCCACCTGAGGTCAAATCACAATCTTGACATGCAGTAACACAGTCAGCTAAGGATTTCATCCAATCAAATTCTACTGGCTCACAAGTGGTCAGCAGCTTCACCACATATCTCAGGAGCTCAAAGCACAGCCTAGGGTTGGATCTGAGGATAAATATGGTTGGGATGGTACTAGGGATAAATATGGTTGGGGTGGTACTAGGGATAAATATGGTTGGGGTGGTACTAGGGATAAATATGGTTGGGGTGGTACTAGGGATAAATATGGTTGGGGTGGTACTAGGGATAAATATGGTTGGGGTGGTACTAGGGATAAATATGGTTGGGGTGGTACTAGGGATAAATATGGTTGGGGTGGTACTAGGGATAAATATGGTTGGGGTGGTACTAGGGATAAATATGGTTAGGGTGGTACTAGGGATAAATATGGTTGGGGTGGTACTAGGGATAAATATGGTTGGGGTGGTACTAGGGATAAATATCATGTTAGGATGGTACAAGGAATAAATGTCATATTAGAATGGTACTAGGGATAAATATGTTGGGATGGTACAAGGGATAAATGTCATATTAGGATGGTACTAGAATACATGTCATGTTAGGATGGTACAAGGGATGAATGTCATGCTGGGGTGGTACAAGGGGTGGTACAAGGGGTGGTACAAGGGGTGGTACAAGGGGTGGTACAAGGGGTGGTACAAGGGGTGGTACAAGGGGTGGTACAAGGGGTGGTACAAGGGGTGGTACAAGGGGTGGTACAAGGGGTGGTACAAGGGGTGGTACAAGGGGCATGTCATGTTGAGACATCACAAGGTTTCTCTACTTACTTGTTGAGTTGAACAAAAGCTCTAAGAAAACCAGCCAAAAAACTTTCACGTGGCCAGCCATCTCTCTGCTGATTTAAAAAAAATTTTCTAAGCTGCTGATGTGTAAGACAAATCTTAACTAGAAAAGTTGACGATTGACCTCTTTTTCTTTACCGTTGTCATGGTTATGATGGAAAACAATGATACAGGGTTTCAATTTTTTAACACTGTTTCATGGTCATTTCAAAAACATATACTTGTAATCGTTATTTTTACCAATCTAGTTTTAACAAAGGACCATTAGTGTATGATGTAAACTTGCTTTTAGTACATTATTTTGCCTAGTAATTGAGTAATTGAGAATAGAGCAGAACATCAAGAGAAATATTTGCGAGTTGTTTTACAAAAAAATTCTATAAAATACAAAATTAACCTGACAAGAAAGTAAATACAACAAAAAATAGGGGCTATAGCGTTATCATGACCTAGATTTACGATGGATTCTGAAAAACAACTAATTAAATAGAGAACATTTGATTAGATGCTGGGAGCGGCATTACGGTCTTAAAGAGTTAATAAAACTAGAAATACAGCCCTAACCCTCTATATACCAGATCGTTGTCTAATAGGGTTGATAACAATCAATTCTTGCAGACAATCAATCATCCACCATTTCTCTTACCTGACAGCTATTGGCTACTATTAATGACAGGCTGTTTTCCAAATATTTTCTTCCAAATTTCACAGAATCTTCATCATGATGTTCCAAAAATGTGGCATAGGTCTCCATGTGATCTCTGAATGGAATGTGGTTGAAGTATCATTATACACACCATAGGTCAATGTATCAGTATAACAACATGTGTAGAAGTAGGCAGGCCAACAATAGTATACCAACATGTGTAGAAGTAGGCAGGCCAACAATAGTATACTTACACATGTTGAAGGCAGGCCAACAATAGTATACTTACACATGTAGAAGACAGGCCAACAATAGTATACTTACACATGTAGAAGACAGGCCAACAATAGTATACTTACACATGTAGAAGACAGGCCAACAATAGTATACTTACACATGTAGAAGGCAGGCCAATAAAAAATCCAGCAAACTTTGACTGTGTGTTTTATTCAAAACAAGAAGAGCTGTGTTGAGAAGTTTTTCCGAAACAATTGTAAGCACCTACAGAGAAAAATCTCATTTTAATTTAGCATAAAGTGGGAGAGGGGGTGTGTGGGTAGTGTGATCATCCACATAATAAATTGAACACAACCACAGACATGTAACTGACATTGGTTGAGATCTAAGGCAGGTGCCAAACACAACCACAGACATGTACCTGACATTGGTTGAGATCTAAGGCAGGTGCCAAACACAACCACAGACATGTACCTGACATTGGTTGAGATCTAAGGCAGGTGCCAAACACAACCACAGACATGTACCTGACATTGGTTGAGATGAGATCTAAGGCAGGTGCCCAACACAACCACAGACATGTACCTGACATTGGTTGAGATCTAAGGCAGGTGCCAAACACAACCACAGACATGTACCTGACATTGGTTGAGATCTAAGGCAGGTGCCAAACACAACCACAGACATGTACCTGACATTGGTTGAGATGAGATCTAAGGCAGGTGCCCAACACAACCACAGACATGTACCTGACATTGGTTGAGATCTAAGGCAGGTGCCAAACAATACCACAGACATGTACCTGACATTGGTTGAGATGAGATCTAAGGCAGGTGCCCAACACAACCACAGACATGTACCTGACATTGGTTGAGATGAGATCTAAGGCAGGTGCCAAACAATACCACAGACATGTACCTGACATTGGTTGAGATGAGATCTAAGGCAGGTGCCCAACACAACCACAGACATGTACCTGACATTGGTTGAGATGAGATCTAAGGCAGGTGCCAAACAATACCACAGACATGTACCTGACATTGGTTGAGATGAGATCTAAGGCAGGTGCCCAACACAACCACAGACATGTACCTGACATTGGTTGAGATGAGATCTAAGGCAGGTGCCTAGCACAACAAGAGTGGATTCTTCAACTTGTACCAGAGATGGCAGCATGGCAGGCTGACAGCGCAGGATCAAATCACAGATGGCACCAAGCAGGTCACACTGAGTAGATACAAATGTTTTACATTGAGTAGATACAAATGTTTCACATTGAGTAGATACAAATGTTTCACATTGAGTGGATACAAATGTTTTACATTGAGTAGATACAAATGTTTCACATTGAATAGATACAAATGTTTCACATTGTTGAGTAGATACAAATGTTTCACATTGAGTGGATACAAATGTTTCACATTGAGTAGATACAAATGTTTCACATTGAGTGGATACAAATGTTTCACATTGAGTAGATACAAATGTTTCACATTGAGTAGATACAAATGTTTCACATTGTTGAGTAGATACAAATGTTTCACATTGAGTAGATACAAATGTTTCACATTGTTGAGTGGATACAAATGTTTCACATTGAGTAGATACAAATGTTTCACATTGAGTAGATACAAATGTTTCACATTGAGTGGATACAAATGTTTCACATTGAGTAGATACAAATGTTTCACATTGAGTAGATACAAATGTTTCACATTGTTGAGTAGATACAAATGTTTCACATTGAGTAGATACAAATGTTTCACATTGTTGAGTAGATACAAATGTTTCACATTGAGTGGATACAAATGTTTCACATTGAGTGGATACAAATGTTTCACATTGAGTGGATACAAATGTTTCACATTGAGTAGATACAAATGTTTCACATTGAGTGGATACAAATGTTTCACATTGAGTAGATACAAATGTTTCACATTGAGTGGATACAAATGTTTCACATTGAGTAGATACAAATGTTTCACATTGAGTAGATACAAATGTTTCACATTGAGTAGATACAAATGTTTCACATTGAGTGGATACAAATGTTTCACATTGAGTAGATACAAATGTTTCACATTGAGTAGATACAAATGTTTCACACTGAGTAGATACAAATGTTTCACATTGAGTGGATACAAATGTTTCACATTGAGTAGATACAAATGTTTCACATTGAGTAGATATAAATGTTTCACATTGAGTAGATACAAATGTTTCACACTGAGTAGATACAAATGTTTCACATTGAGTGGATACAAATGTTTCACATTGAGTAGATACAAATGTTTCACATTGAGTAGATATAAATGTTTCACATTGAATAGATACAAATGTTTCACATTGAGTGGATACAAATGTTTCACATTGAGTAGATATGATTGTTTCACATTGAGTAGATACAAATGTTTCACATTGAGTAGATACAAATGTTTCACATTGAGTAGATACAAATGTTTCACATTGAGTGGATACAAATGTTTCACATTGAGTAGATATAAATGTTTCACATTGAGTAGATACAAATGTTTCACATTGAGTGGATACAAATGTTTCACATTGAGTAGATACAAATGTTTCACATAGAGTGGATACAAATGTTTCACATTGAGTAGATACAAATGTTTCACATTGAGTAGATACAAATGTTTCACATTGAGTAGATACAAATGTTTCACATTGAGTAGATACAAATGTTTCACATTGAGTAGATACAAATGTTTCACATTGAGTGGATACAAATGTTTCACATTGAGTAGATACAAATGTTTCACATTGAGTAGATACAAATGTTTCACATTGTTGAGTAGATACAAATGTTTCACATTGAGTAGATACAAATGTTTCACATTGAGTAGATACAAATGTTTCACATTGAGTAGATACAAATGTTTCACATTGAGTAGATACAAATGTTTCACATTTACCAATGTGTCAAATTGTGAGGTGACCACTACACACAAACAACTTACTAATGTGTCAAATTGTGAGGTGACCACTACACACAAACAACTTACTAATGTGTCAAATTGTGAGGTGACCACTACACACAAACAACTTACTAATGTGTCAAATTGTGAGGTGACCACTACACACAAACAACTTTCTAATGTGTCAAATTGTGAGGTGACCACTACACACAAACAACTTACTAATGTGTCAAATTGTGAGGTGACCACTACACACAAACAACTTACTAATGTGTCAAATTGTGAGGTGACCACTACACACAAACAACTTACTAATGTGTCAAATTGTGAGGTGACCACTGCAGTGACAAGTTTCTGTGTACAGTTGATGACGTGCTGCAGATGTGTGGAGTTCTCTCCCTTAGTGCTCGCCCCCTGCATGGCATCAATCACCGCCTGAGATATACAAGATGCTACTATGTGTAACCAGCAGATTGAAAGATAAACTATGTGTTACTAGCAGATTGAAAGATACAAGATGTTTGTCATTTGAACGTGTTCGGGTTAGGTTAGATAAACTATGTGTTACTAGCAGATTGAAAGATACAAGATGTTTGTCATTTGAACGTGTTAGGGTTAGGTTAGATAAACTATGTGTAACCAGCAGATTGAAAGATACAAGATGTTTGTCATTTGAACGTGTTCGGGTTAGGTTAGATAAACTATGTGTTACTAGCAGATTGAAAGATACAAGATGTTTGTCATTTGAACGTGTAGCATCAATAGTTTGGATCATGAATGAGTTGAGTAGATTGCTATGTAGGAGAAAAAGAAAACTAGACAGCAGAATAAGTGTAGGATAGTTATTACATACGAGCCGACCCGCGGCGTATAATACACCACTATTTAGTTGTTTTATTTTCTACTGTTCAGTAATTCATATTTTTGTGAATTCGACAGTACCAATGCTGCCACTGAAAATATTTGCTTTAAAACACTATCAGTAGATCATTAAGGACGATAACTCCCCCCCCCCCCCCGGTAAAAGCAGCCTCCTCTTAGTTACCTCCCCTAAGTTTAAAATCGTTTCAAACTAATTTATCTGCCCCTAATAGCCGTCACTAAACCCGGCTCTATAATTGTAAACATTTAGCGTGAACCACAGCTCACCAGACCAATATGGGGGTGGGGGTGGTAGAGATATGCCTAGAGAGGAAGAGAGGGGGCTGCTAGGCGCGCTTACAGCTTGGTGTTTTCTATGGTATCTAAGAAGAGAATTATATATATAGATATGACATAGAATAAATAAACTTTTACATATATTATATAGAATAATAAACTAGGAGATCGTTGACCTTTAAACTGTGTTCGTCATTGTGTTTTTCTTCTTCGTTCTTAATTGTAGAGTTGGAAGAGATTCCCTCCAACACAAATAAGTATTTGTGTCATCTAATTATGCGCCATATTGGCCGTTGACTTCAAATTCATCCTGCTTTTCTTTTTGGATTTGCTTCAATAGCCTTTGACCAAATCAAGAACAAACTACAAGGCAGCAAATGTTTGATTTTGGAGTTGTCTCACTTAGATGAGTTGCTGTCCCTAGCTATCAGGCCTCATCTACCCAAGCATCCTAATATATAAAAGCCCATGTGCGCACCTCTCTCTCTCTCTCTCTCTCTCTCTCTCTCTCTCTCTCTGCAACATTTCTGAGGCTATGTGATCAGTATGTTCCGCAACATATGGAGAACTTAAAGATACAGACTTTTGTTGAAAATAATATGTTGGATGTTCTAAATGTATAAACTAAACTTTATGTCACATGTTTAAACTATGAAAAGTACACAAAACTAATGGCATCATCTTCCAATTTTAGAATATGAAGAAATGAACTATTTCATTCAAATTTTATTTAGATCGATAGATCTACTTATCAAGACGTGCCCTATGAAATGTATACAATTTTCTCTCCCAAAAGTAATAAAAATTACTTTAAAAAACAACATAAATCCCATTGAACAGTGGGGTTTTTAACAGAATCATTTAAGTCTTTTAATCAGTGTGTGCATTTAATATGGTGTTGTGTTGACTAATAATGTATATAATTTGGTTTTTCTAATAGGTATTGGTAGCCAATGTTATTTTAAACGTGTCGGATTTTTAGCTATTTAGTTATTTCTTTGCTTTGACATTAAAATCGTGCAAAATTTAGTAAAGAACATTGCGTTTTGACCAATAACTATTACATAAAATATTTTTTTCAAACAAGTATAACATTAAAATATAGGCCTATAATTCACTGGCTACTAACACGCAATATTGAAATGTAATATTGATGGTTTATAAGTACTACTGGCTACTTACACGTAATATTGATGGTTTAAGTACTACTGGCTACTTACATGTAATGATGGTTTAAGTACTACTGGCTACTTACATGTAATATTGATGGTTTAAGTAACACTGGCTACTTACATGTAATATTGATGGTTTATGTACTACTGGCTACTTACATGTAATATTGATGGTTTAAGTAACACTGGCTACTTACACGTAATATTGATGGTTTAAGTAACACTGGCTACTTACATGTAATATTGATGGTTTAAGTACTACTGGCTGGTTGCATGTGTCAAGAAGTTTATCAAGAGTTTCCCACGTACGATGTATATCCTCTTTAGAGAGGTTGTGCCTGGAAATAAAAGGGCCATAACAGTCTGTTTTGGTGGTACAGTCAGTGTATTTGGTAGAATATGGTTTGTAACAATAGACGTAACTTACTTTTTCTTGTTAATAAGAAGGCCACAAATAAACTCAAGGATCTGTTGATTTTTATTGGGAATGTGTACAGATTCATTGACCCAGGCGAATTTGGCCAATTTCAGCTTATCTGGCAACTTTGTATCCTTGCCTTTTATACGAAGAATTAAACCTGGTAGAAAAAAAGCTCATTAGTTGAAAGAAAAAACTTTGCAAGTCTAAGGTCATCAATATTGTGATATTCCGTTTTAATTAGGACTTTCCTTTTTATAAGCTTTTATTTCACTTGATTCCTTGAGCTAAAAGCATTTGTCTTCATCATGTGTCAAAACTTGTGAGCAAAAACTTCAACCACTTCTAACAAAATCAATTTCTTTCAACTGGACATATTTTAAATGTGAAATAAATTTGACACAATTAGATGTAGTTAATTAATTATTGTTTCAGACATGCCTACCCCTGTCAGCCAAAAGTAAGAACAGCCATGCCTAAAAAGAGGAACATATGAGCGGACGCTACTTAAATAAGTCAAAAATAAAAAAAGTAGTCTAATGACATTAGTAGGCTTCTAGTTATATAACTAACGAGCCGACCCGCGGCGTATCATATGCCGCTATTTAGTTGTTTTATTTTCTACTTTTCAGTAATTCATAATTTGTGAATTCGACAGTACCAATGCTGCCACTGAAAATATTTGGTTTAAAACACTAACCCCCCCCCTTCCCCTAACCCCGACCCTACACCCCCCCCCCCCCCGTGAAAGCAGCCTCCTGTTTCCAACAGATGCAACCATGCTCATTTACTATAGCAGCCATCTTGTTTAAGTTTTTTTTTCTAAACTTATAGCGCGAGAATCAGGGGGAAGCCACTCTATTTTACAAATGGCTGCTGTTTATATAACAAATCTTGCTCGCAAACATTGCTGTTTAATTAAAGTTAATTTCTGGCCCATATTTATTAGTTTTTCTTACTAAATCTAAAATTTACGCAATTTTCAATATAAACATGACCACTGAATAATAGACATCCATATTTAATCCATTAGGCACTAATTTAGTTTTTAGTTCATTTTAAACTAAATTACTTAATTTAATATTTATTGACACTCACTGCCATGGCCAACACATCTCTCCATGACAACTCTTCTAACCCTTGATGCTAAAGAAAACCACAAATCAGGTTAGACTTTTTAAGTGGCCATGCACCCAGAGTTCCTCACTAGTGATCTCAAATAGCGGTCACGTGGTTTTTAAAAAATAAAAATAAATTGGTTGTGATATGAGAGCCGATCTTATAAAAAAAGTGCCGACAATATTTGCTTTCTTTTTACATAGACTGATAGACTTAATAATGCTTTACTTATATAATCATTTTTGTACCTACATAGTTGATATTTTTCAAATTCTATTAATTTTAATGAAACCAACTTTTGAATTTAGCCTCCGTTCTCCAAACCAAATTTTAAAATGCTTTTCTGGCATATCTAACCCTGCCACCTATTGTTTGTTGTTATGACACGGAAATCCCGCCATTTTGCGCGTGGTAAACATTTTTAAATTTAATTAGTAGAAGGTCTCTGGAATTTGGCAAAAAAAAACGCCGGAAGTCATGCGTCCGGTCCGGACGCCATATTGTTGTTAGCAACCGACCACGCCTCCAAGTTAGCGAGTAATACTAATATTTATTAGGCCGGTTCGTCACTTAGATGGCTGGATTGACCTCTGACCCTGAAACGTCACGCGTCGTTTTCTGACGGTTTCTACGTTTATTTTAGGGGTCCTATCCACGACAAATTAAAGAACTGTTTATCTCGCTAATTCTCATCATTATTTTAACACAAAATGCTAATAAAATAGATAATATGACTTAGAATGCCAGAAAAAATCGCGAGAATTGTGTTTGTAAATAATGAGAGGATTTCTAGTGGAGCACTCTCCGTAAAAACTGAACCGCGGCCAAAAACGACCCAATAACGGGGAAAACGGCTCTGATAACACTAAATTAATATATAATTGAGATAATTACCATGTATATTTACAGTATTATCGATTCTACTTTCCAAAATCTAATTCCAAAATGAGGTACCCACGCTGACATTTCTATCCGCTATTTTTAGTATCATGACGTCATTGTTACGCTAGTTGCCAGACTGAAACAACTAGTTTTTGTTTTTTACGGAATGAACTGTTAAGTCTAGTATTTTAATTATTATTAAATATTATTCAATTGTAGCATGTGCGGAAAAAGTAAAATCATGGACATTATTATTGTATTAGTAATTTTATTAGTATATTGATTTTTTCTTCACTGTGGGCCGACCGTTGCTGCATTCGTGACCGGTGGTTAACCTCGTCAACGCCGCGTGGCCTATTCGTTTATATAATCAGTGATGCTCGTTCAGTGGCCTTTTTCAGCGCTAGGCCTAATTACGGGCGATTTTTAGACTTAATTGATTGGCCGTTAGCCTTTTTCATTGCTGCGTATTTTAAAAAATGCTCGTTCAGCGGCCTTTTTTTTTTTTGGCGCTAAATAATCTGTTTACGGGCATTTTAAGCGTTTATTTATTTATTTTTTTAAGCTAGACGTAGATCTAGTTAAAAAAAAATATTTTTTTATACAGCTGGCTGATATGCAAACTTTAAAAAAAATGACCGAGCTTTAAAAAAAAAAAAATGACCAGAAGGGAAATAGGTCTGTTTTTCAATGAGCTTGAAGAAGAAGGGTGGGGGGGGGGGGGGGGGGGGGGGGGAAGAGAGAGAGAAGTGAAGACACCGACCATCTCGTGTACGCGTGTTCATTCTATGACGTGTACTATAGGCCTGCTGAAGTCAGGGTGACCCCGCGACCGTGGTGGGATTTTTCATCCACAGGATAGTAAACATAAGCAAGCAATCACGCGAGTGACGATGTTTGGAGATTTTATTTAAAAAAAAAAAAATCACATACGTCATGTTTTCAAGATGAAAAAAAAATGTAATGTAAAAAAAAAAAAAGACACTAATACTCATGTATGAACCTCAGCTGCCACACTGTTGACTCAATATAATGTGATTGAGTGTAAAATGTATTTGTATTTATAAACTATCTTAACTCTTAACTATTACTATCATATTATTTTATGCATATTTTTTAAAATTAGAATTTGAAATAAAAATATTTATTATGGTCATTTGATTTATGCAGGTGTTCATTACTTCATAAAATGGTATGAATAACATGTAGAGTAGAATTTAATAAATAATAAAATAACTAGATTTCTCTAGATCTAGTTTTATTATCAACCAGTTGCTTTTTGTTATTTTCCGGTGAGTAAATAACCTAAGCTGACGCAATTACCATGGCGGGAATTAAAAGCTCGTGCACACAAGTCCACGACGTCATGTTATGCCGGTCGAGGAGCAAAAACGATGTTCTGACTTTCATTTTCCATTCTCGGAAAAATTTTAAATTCTCTCTTTTCTCGTCAACCGATTAAGCTAGATATTTAAATGTGGTGTCAAATGTTCTCTTAAGGGGTAAGGAACTTAATGGTGTATTTGAAATAACAGAATATTTAATTATAAAAAATCCATAATTAGGCTAAACCTAATATTTATATATTTTTATTATTCATTCATCTATAATATTTGACACAAATATATCACAATATACTTCTATTAAAGCCTTGACAATGAGGTAACTTTTTCGTACGTTACTAGCCGCGGGCGATTTTACGTACCCAAAATGATAGATTACCAAACATTTACATTGATTCATTCTACAACAACATGTGACATTGTGGAAAAATTGCGTGGATATTGGACAATATGTGCAAAAACTATTTGTATAATGTAACTGTACTTTACTGTACTATAAGCCTAATATAATAAAATATAATATCAGACATAGATCTATATATGATCGATAATTTTGATATAGATCTAGATTAATCTAGATCTAGGCCTAATAAAAACAACACAAACACATGCCTGTGTAAGTCGCCATTTTAAATTGTTTTTTGTAAATGAGAGTAGCTTCCCCCGTTGAAGCCGATGTTTCGACGAATAAGTTAGGGTTATTTGTAATCGCTTTATAGATCTACTATTTTATAGCGAAATGCGACCCCGTAAGGATAAATAGCGAATTAATTTCGAATTTTAAAAAAGAGATACATTTAATATCTCCCTGGAAGAAACTCTGGTAGGGGGGAGGGGGTCAGTAATTTTGTGACGGTGTGTGATGAGGGGGAGGGAGGGGGGTTCAGATGGTGCGACGTCACACTTTTGCATTATAAAAAAGCAATGTTAGAAAATGAATTTTAGACATCATTTCACGTTTTAGAAAATTACATTTATTATTAAAAAAAAATATGGCGGCGCCCCGGCAGTAAGGCGGCGCTGTTTGACATTCAAGAGTTCACTAAAGGCTATCTTTGAACCTGGGGTCCGTTTATAGCGTCAGCGTCAAATTGCATAGGCGCATCAGCCGGCACCCAGCCGGTCGCGTAATCCGGTACTCCCTGGGCTCCCCCTCGAACTCTACGGCATCTATATTCGTTTTAATGAGCACCATTCAGAGAGGATACGGATGGCTACTAAAATCGATACCTAAATCGAATAAGGGGTGTCCTCCAGCGCATCAGCAATAGTAAAGGTTTGGTGCCCCGAGATGGCCAGTGGCTACCTGAGTGAAAGAGATCAGTTGATTGCGCATCCTTTATGGGTATTACTTATTCAACGATCGAACTGCAACAGGGGCGGCCTTCAACACCCCCCTCCCCGGTTTACGGATGACACCAAGCACAGGAGCACCTTATGGCGGATTAAAACCGAACCAGGGGTAGCATCTGGCTACATACGGTAGTGTAACACGTCACTCCCGCGACACCCTTAGGCGTTCGATGGAAGGTGTTCAACCTAACTATTACAAAGAACGATTAACGTAAAGTCGGTTATTTCAAGCATCACGCCCAACGACGTCTGGTCGGTAAAGTGGACAAACCCGCGCCCCAGCAGCAAAGATTAGAAAAACAGTGGCGTTGTTTACATTTTAACTATCTCAGTTTTAGAAAATAAGGTCACACGACTAAAAATACACAATTATTAACGCGTCGGTAAAGTGGACAAACCCGCGCCCCAGCAGCAAAGATTAGAAAAACAGTGGCGTTGTTTACATTTTAACTATCTCAGTTTTAGAAAATAAGGTCACACGACTAAAAATACACAATTATTAACGCGTTGATCAAACCCTTACAAATTGTTTCATTACCCTGGTATGTAAAACTAGATCGTAGCAACGCGGACGGGTACACTAGTTAGTGTAAACATTCTTTAAAATGTCACTGTGACCAGGAAGGAGATGTTGATATCTATGATTGAATTTATTTTTAAATCTCATTATTTTTTTATTATGATGCTGTTAAGATGTTATGAAACTAATTGTAGATAAGCCCATCGGGTCAGTAACTTAGCCATCATAAGTATTTAACAAACAGAAGCACCTAAAATAGATATCAAGGAACTTATTAATTAATTTGCAGAATTAAAAGCATGAGGAAGAAACAGATCTAAATAAATCATGAGCAGTTTTTAAAAAATGGTGTTATTGGCGTCACAGCGTTGGGTGTTCCCCTACGTGTTACCAAAGGTATTCACCCGATCGTCCCCAACAACTTTGCATTTTCGGTGGGATGTCACCCCTCTTTGACTTATCTTTCATTATTTTAGCTGGATGCAACATAAGCTTGACAAACAATTGTACAATGCTGCACTCACTTATTACTCTATTTGGTTACTTAAAAAAACAAAAACAAAAAAAGATGTAAGCCTGTAACATTTTTACTAAACTACGGGGTAGTAGGCCTACATCATATGTAAAATAAACAAATATTAAAAACTACATCAAAAGTAGCGGTTGATTTCTTCGTTTCACTCCGTTATAGCCTAACGGCTGACAAAAGGGCCCTCTAATAAATTTTGCATAGGGGCCCGAAAATCCTAGCTACGCCACTGGGCTACATTTATATTTAACCGAACCCCACCAGTTACACATGTACATTCATAGAACCCTTTTTATGAAGATCGAACCCTAATAATCCAGCGTCCCACATCTCTATTTCATTTCTATTTCACTTATGATCTCATTCTCTCCCTCTTTCCCCGTGGACTTAACACCATCACCTGCTTAGTGATTTTTACAAGGTTTGATTTAACTTGCTTCTTTTGTCTGTCTCCATAGATCGGAACCCCCCCCCCCCCCCTTAGGCCTATCTGTGTGGTGGATCCAGTGCCGGCGCCAGGTTATTTTATTTAGCGCCCTAGGCAAAACTGATTAAAAGCGCACCCCCCCCCCGCGCAATTTTTTTCGTGACCCCGTATTATCAGAGGGGTAGCGACCCTTCCCGTCGCCCGGGGACAAACTTTCGATTTGCACCCCCCTCAAACTTTTAATTTGTTTTTTCCAACCCATTTTGGCGTCCCCCTACGGACAGCGCCCTAGGCGACCGCCTAGTTCGTCTTATAGGTAGCGCCGGCCCTGGGTGGATCAATAAATAACAATATTATTATTAGATTAATACGCTAAATTCTTATTTCTAGACTATTTCTGTTCACCAAAATTGAACGAAACAATGGATATGAAGTTCGCACGGATGCATAAAATTTAGTATTTTCTAAATAGATCTAGACTCTAGATCTAGATCTAGATCTAGATCTAGATAACCAGTTTACTTTTATTTTTAGAAAGTTTTATTTTTATAAGCAGCAGTTTTTCCTGTTGAAATAGAGTTGTGCTTCGGCTTACACATAAACAAATCGCAAACGACTCAAATGTCTAACATTTCAAAGCACGTTATTTTTTTTATTAATTTTTTTTGTAACTTAAAAAATATTAATAGTGAATACCAACATAGATCTTGTAGGGCTAGATGTAATCTAGAATCTAGATGTACTTATTACTAGAAGGGTAAAGCGTCAATTAATAATTTAGCGTCGGAAATTATCCAGTAATGAGTTGATATTCTCAAAATTCTGGGGTAATCTATCGTTTTAGGTACGTAAAATCGCCCGCGACTAGATCTAGTAATGTACGAAAAAGTTACCTCATCGTCAAGGCCTTTAATAGAAGTTTATTGTGATATATTTGTGTCAAATATTATAAATAAATGAATAATAAACATAAATCAATGGCTAAATATATCAAACTTTAAACAGCAGTGTTTGCTAGCAGGATTTGCTATATAAAAAGCGGCAATCTGAAAGTTAGAGTGGCTTCCCCTGAATCTTGCGCTATAAGTTTACAGTACAAAAAAATAAACAAGATGGCTGCTAAAGTAAATGAGCATGGTTGCATCTGTTGGAAACATCGCTAGTCTTCATTTATTACTGAAAATTCAATTGTTTAAAAACAGGCACATAAATGAAACATGGGAACATTTTTGTATTTTTCAAAACTTAAATCCTTCTCAAAATGTGAAATAATTATAAAAATTTAAGGAGTCACCTGTTTTTCACATTACTAGTCGCGGGCAATTTTACGTACCTAAAACAATAGATTACCGTATTCTGGTAATCTTAGATTTAGATTACTAAGATTAGTTACTTAGAATCCAGATCTAGTAGTTAGTTAGTCTCTTAGACCTTAGATCTAGTAATCTATCGTTTTAGGTACCTAAATTCGCCCGCGACTAGTAATGTGAAAAACAGGTGACTCCTTAAATTTTAATAATTATTTCAGGATGATATTTTGAGTCGTCCCTTTGAATCCCGGTCAGAACGGCTTCCCCCGTTTCTATCTGACAACTAGCGTAACAATGATGTAACGTTACTAAAAATAGCAGAGAAAATTGTCGCATGGTACCTCATGCAGGAAATGGATTTTGGAAAAAGTAAACAGCATTAATGTAGTTAATCATGGTAAATATCTTAAACATATATTAATCTAGGAACTGTCAGGCGCTTTTGCGTGGTGGTCGGTTGTTTTTTTGTTGTAGTTCAGTTTTTCTGAAGTGCTCTACAAGAAATGCTTGTATTAATTAGAACTACATATCTCGCAAATTTTTCTGGCATTTTAAGGCATAGTATCCATTTCCTTAGCATCTCGCATTAAAATGATGAGATTTTGAGAGATTAGCAGTGTTTTTTCATTTGTCATATATAGGACCCTCAAAATAAACTTAAAAAACAGGTAAAAAAACAAAGCGTGATGCTGGATTACGCATAAAACCTCTTGATTTTGATAAATCTAGATTGATAATTTTTGCCCGATTATAATAAATCCTCTATATTTCGGATGTGATGAAGGACTGAGGTGTAATACGGTGAAAATTGTTAAAATTTCAAGTGATTTTTGTGCACGTTTACAATACTTTCTCTATACTTCGTATATACGAGAAAGTAAAAAACAAAGAAATGAATTAAAATAATTAAATGACATAAGGAAGGCGTCAACAAAAACTCAAACGCAAAACTCGCAATTTCACCCATCCACTTTAAACAGTCATTAAAAATTATACTAGAAAATCTCATTTTGTTAATTTCCTTACTAATTTTGACTTTATAATTCTATGGCGGTCGCGGGTTACTTACTTTTTAGTAAAGGGGGTCTCCTCTTAAAAAAGTTTGGGAATCCATGCCAAATAATATTGACCATAATGTCAGATTTGTTACGTTTCACTTTTTGGCTATTGAAGTTTTTAAAAACTGAATGATCATGTTTTCTAATTTATAATGGAATAGGATTAATTAGGGAATAATTTAATATAAAATTGAATGAGTCAGGCTAATAAATATGGGTCTATCTATAAACATTGCAATTTCGTGGCCAATTCAATATCAAACGTACTAGAATTCACTTTTAAGAACAGTGTTTCAGACAAAGTCATCTTTCTAAAAAATTATGAGAATAGTTTCCTATAAGAATTTTCTATTTCTTTGTGTGTTGTTTTGATTTTTGCTGTTTAATAAGTTTGCCTTGTTTAATAAGTGTATTAGAGTCTGTTTCATGTCTTCCCATTTGATGTGAGCTCCAATCTTCCATCCTTTGTTGCAGGAAGATGATTGAGTCCCGGGTATTTCATATCCAAAATCAAGCTAACACAGCCTTCAGTGTTATGCAAGAGCTTCGAATCAATCAGCAGCTTTGTGACATTGTACTTTGTGTGGGTGGAGCCAAGTATTCAGCACACCGTGTAAGTACTGTGTGGGTGGAGCACACCGTGTAAGTACTGTGTGGGTGGAGCACACTGTGTAAGTACTGTGGGTGGAGCACACTGTGTAAGTACTGTGTGGGTGGAGCGCACTGTAAGTACTGTGTGGGTGGAGCACACCGTGTAAGTACTGTGTGGGTGGAGCACACTGTGTAAGTACTGTGGGTGGAGCACACTGTGTAAGTACTGTGTGGGTGGAGCGCACTGTAAGTACTGTGTGGGTGGAGCACACTGTGTAAGTACTGTGTGGGTGGAGCACACTGTGTAAGTACTGTGTGGGTGGAGCACACTGTGTAAGTACTGTGTGGGTGGAGCACACTGTGTAAGTACTGTGTGGGTGGAGCACACTGTGTAAGTACTGTGTGGGTGGAGCACACTGTGTAAGTACTGTGTGGGTGGAGCACACTGTGTAAGTACTGTGTGGGTGGAGCACACTGTGTAAGTACTGTGTGGGTGGAGCACACTGTGTAAGTACTGTGTGGGTGGAGCGCACTGTGTAAGTACTGTGTGGGTGGAGCGCACTGTAAGTACTGTGTGGGTGGAGCACACTGTGTAAGTACTGTGTGGGTGGAGCACACTGTAAGTACTGTGTGGGTGGAGCACACTGTGTAAGTACTGTGTGGGTGGAGCACACTGTGTAAGTACTGTGTGGGTGGAGCACACTGTGTAAGTACTGTGTGGGTGGAGCACACTGTGTAAGTACTGTGTGGGTGGAGCACACTGTGTAAGTACTGTGTGGGTGGAGCACACTGTGTAAGTACTGTGTGGGTGGTGCACACTGTGTAAGTACTGTGTGGGTGGAGCACACTGTAAGTACTGTGTGGGTGGAGCACACTGTAAGTACTGTGTGGGTGGAGCACACTGTAAGTACTGTGTGGGTGGAGCACACTGTAAGTACTGTGTGGGTGGAGCACACTGTAAGTACTGTGTGGGTGGAGCACACTGTAAGTACTGTGTGGGTGGAGCACACTGTGTAAGTACTGTGTGGGTGGAGCACACTGTGTAAGTACTGTGTGGGTGGAGCACACTGTGTAAGTACTGTGTGGGTGGAGCACACTGTGTAAGTACTGTGTGGGTGGAGCACACCGTGTAAGTACTGTGTGGGTGGAGCCAAGTATTCAGCACACTGTGTAAGTACTGTGTGGGTGGAGCACACCGTGTAAGTACTGTGTGGGTGGAGCCAAGTATTCAGCACACTGTGTAAGTACTGTGTGGGTGGAGCACACTGTGTAAGTACTGTGTGGGTGGAGCCAAGTATTCAGCACACTGTGTAAGTACTGTGTGGGTGGAGCACACCGTGTAAGTACTGTGTGGGTGGAGCCAAGTATTCAGCACACTGTGTAAGTACTGTGTGGGTGGAGCACACTGTGTAAGTACTGTGTGGGTGGAGCACACCGTGTAAGTACTGTGTGGGTGGAGCACACTGTGTAAGTACTGTGGGTGGAGCACACTGTGTAAGTACTGTGTGGGTGGAGCACACTGTGTAAGTACTGTGTGGGTGGAGCACACCGTGTAAGTACTGTGTGGGTGGAGCCAAGTATTCAGCACACTGTGTAAGTACTGTGTGGGTGGAGCACACCGTGTAAGTACTGTGTGGGTGGAGCCAAGTATTCAGCACACTGTGTAAGTACTGTGTGGGTGGAGCACACTGTGTAAGTACTGTGTGGGTGGAGCACACTGTGTAAGTACTGTGTGGGTGGAGCACACTGTAAGTACTGTGTGGGTGGAGCACACTGTGTAAGTACTGTGTGGGTGGAGCAGATTGGGTGTATGACAGCAGATTGGGTGTATGACAGCAGATTGGGTGTATGACAGCAGATTGGGTGTATGACAGCAGATTGGGTGTATGACAGCAGATTGGGTGTATGACAGCAGATTGGGTGTATGACAGCAGTGTACATATTACTATCTTCAGTATTCATTCATGCAGTTTTTAATTTTCAGTACTAGTATGATTATTGAATGAATCAAATGAGTCAGCTGAAAGTTAAGCTGCATGAGAGCACTAGTAGAAGGTGCATTCTGATGTGTCTGAAATGGTTGTTATCTGACAGGTTGTGCTGGCTGGCTGCAGCCCTTATCTGCGTGCAATGTTTACCAATGGAATGCTGGAGTCTGAACGGGAACATGTTGAGCTGCATGGCATAGAAGCGCCAACAATGAGTCTTCTCTTAGACTTCATGTACACTTGCTGTATTGAGGTGACAGTAGATAACGTGCAAGCTGTACTACAGGGTGCAAGCATGCTTGGACTACATGCATTACGTACAATGTGCGCACACTTCCTTCAGAATCAACTCACAGCCTCTAATTGCTTAGGTAATAATAAACATCACAATCAGGGTTGTATGTAGTACTGTCCTAGAGTTGTATGTAGTGCTGTCCTAGGGTTGTATGTAGTGCTGTCCTAGGGTTATATGTAGTGCTGTCCTAGGGTTGTATGTGCTGTATTAAGGTTGTATGTAGTGCTGTCCTAGGGTTGTATGTAGTGCTGTCCTAGGGTTGTATGTAGTCTGTCCTAGGGTTGTATGTAGTGCTGTCCTAGGGTTGTATGTAGTGCTGTCCTAGGGTTGTATGTAGTGCTGTCCTAGGGTTGTATGTAGTGCTGTCCTAGGGTTGTATGTAGTGCTGTCCTAGGGTTGTATGTAGTGCTGTCCTAGGGTTGTATGTAGTGCTGTCCTAGGGTTGTATGTAGTGCTGTCCTAGGGTTGTATGTAGTGCTGTCCTAGGGTTGTATGTAGTTAGGGTTGTATGTAGTGCTGTCCTAGGGTTGTATGTAGTGCTGTCCTAGGGTTGTATGTGCTGTATTAGAGTTGTATGTAGTGCTGTCCTAGGGTTGTATGTAGTGCTGTCCTAGGGTTGTATGTAGTGCTGTCCTAGGGTTGTATGTAGTGCTGTCCTAGGGTAGTATGTAGTGCTGTCCTAGGGTTGTATGTAGTTAGGGTTGTATGTAGTGCTGTCCTAGGGTTGTATGTAGTGCTGTCCTAGGGTTGTATGTAGTGCTGTCCTAGGGTTGTATGTAGTGCTGTCCTAGGGTTGTATGTGCTGTATTAGAGTTGTATTTGTATGTAGTGCTGTCCTAGGGTTGTATGTAGTGCTGTCCTAGGGTTGTATGTAGTGCTGTCCTAGGGTTGTATGTAGTGCTGTCCTAGGGTTGTATGTAGTTAGGGTTGTATGTAGTGCTGTCCTAGGGTTGTATGTAGTGCTGTCCTAGGGTTGTATGTAGTGCTGTCCTAGGGTTGTATGTAGTTAGGGTTGTATGTAGTGCTGTCCTAGGGTTGTATGTAGTGCTGTCCTAGGGTTGTATGTAGTGCTGTCCTAGGGTTGTATGTAGTGCTGTCCTAGGGTTGTATGTAGTGCTGTCCTAGGGTTGTATGTAGTGCTGTCCTAGGGTTGTATGTAGTGCTGTCCTAGGGTTGTATGTAGTCTGTCCTAGGGTTGTATGTAGTGCTGTCCTAGGGTTGTATGTAGTGCTGTCCTAGGGTTGTATGTAGTGCTGTCCTAGGGTTGTATGTAGTGCTGTCCTAGGGTTGTATGTAGTCTGTCCTAGGGTTGTATGTAGTGCTGTCCTAGGGTTGTATGTAGTGCTGTCCTAGGGTTGTATGTAGTGCTGTCCTAGGGTTGTATGTAGTTAGGGTTGTATGTAGTGCTGTCCTAGGGTTGTAGGTAGTCTGTCCTAGGGTTGTATGTAGTGCTGTCCTAGGGTTGTATGTAGTTAGGGTTGTATGTAGTGCTGTCCTAGGGTTGTAGGTAGTCTGTCCTAGGGTTGTATGTAGTGCTGTCCTAGGGTTGTATGTAGTGCTGTCCTAGGGTTGTATGTAGTGCTGTCCTAGGGTTGTATGTAGTGCTGTCCTAGGGTTGTATGTAGTGCTGTCCTAGGGTTGTAGGTAGTCTGTCCTAGGGTTGTATGTAGTTAGGGTTGTATGTAGTGCTGTCCTAGGGTTGTAGGTAGTCTGTCCTAGGGTTGTATGTAGTGCTGTCCTAGGGTTGTAGGTAGTCTGTCCTAGGGTTGTATGTAGTTAGGGTTGTACTAGAGTGATTCAGATGACAGATCAATCCTCTTTCTTCAGGTATCCATTATTTTGCTGATGTCTATTCCTGTACAGAGCTAGAGGCCGTGGCTCGCCAGTTTATTTATCAAAACTTTTTGGATGTCATTAGGATGGAAGAATTTTTTGACCTGCCTGAAGATCGTTTACTTAGTTTGTTAAAGTCTGATAAACTTCAGGTACATCTTAATGCTAGTATTCTATAGCCTTTAGTTTTTTAATGTATTTGCTACTTACTGCATACATTACTTTCTACTGGGTCAGTTGTTGTTATGTTTCCCACGGGAGAAATTTGACAGGCACAAATGTACAAACGTTATTAATTATTTTAATTAAAATTAAAATTTATCCTCAAACCTGAATTGTGACAAAATGTCTGGTTAAGTATAAAAAAATGTGAGGTGAAGTGTCATATAGACACAATGTCGGGTAAAATGTGATGAAATTTGTAGTGAAGTATCACAAAATGCAGGTGCTTGTAGCCTTTGAAGGTCTCACAGCTGACCCAAATATGAGCACAAATTAAGCTTACGAGCCGGCCCGCGGCATAACATACGCCGCAATTTAGTTGTTGTTTTTTCTACTTTTCAGTAATTCATAATTTGTGAATTCGACAGTACCAACGCTGACACTGAAAATATTTCTTTAAAACACTATAAGTAGCATGTTAAGGACCATACCCCCCCCCCCCTTACGTTTAAAATCGTTTCAAACTAAATTATCTGCCCCTATAGCCGTCACTAAACCCAACTCCACGAAGGTAAACATAGCGTGAACCACAGCTCACTAAGACAATGTAGGGGTGGGGATGGTAGGGAGCGCATTTACAGCTTGTTTTCTAGCGTCTCCCAGAAGAGAATTATATATATAGATTATGAATTTGTATTTGTTAGATATCTAACAAATTTTTAAAGTTGCTAGCAACTCTTGAGAATTCTCACATTATATTTAGTGAGTGGGAATAGAGTAGAAGTGTTTTAGCATAATGCTACCATAGAAACATGGAAGGTTAGGGTTAGCTCTGGATTAGTTAGAGCCCTGCATTTTTAAACTTATGTCTCAGGTGATGAGTGAGAACCAGGTTTTTGAGGCAGCGTGCTCCTGGCTGCAGTATGATCCTGGAAAACGCTTGGATAGAGCCTGCTTCATCCTACAGAACATTCGACTTGCCTTATTGGAGCGCCACTTTCTGGAGAATGTGGTGCTCAAATCAGAATATTTCCGTACTTGTCCCAAGTGTCAGCTGCTCATCAGCAAAGCCATTCGTATGAAACAGGACAGCAGCGAACTAGAGACAGTTACACCACGTGCCCAGCCACCATGTATTTATGTCATGGGTGGCCGTAACAGCACAGACAGCCAGTTAAAGAGTACAGAGAGATACGACTTCCTAGTTGACCAGTGGATACATATGGTTGGTTCAAATTTGTTTTTATTGGCCAGTGGATACATATGGTTGGTTCACATTTGTTTTTATTGGCCAGTGGATACATATGGTTGGTTCAAATTTGTTTTTATTGGCAGGTGGATACATATGGTTGGTTCAAATTTGTTCAACTGTGCTTTATTGGCCAGTGGATACATATGGTTGGTTCAAATTTGTTTTTATTGGCCAGTGGATACATATGGTTGGTTCAAATTTGTTTTTATTGGCCAGTGGATACATATGGTTGGTTCAAATTTGTTTTTATTGGCCAGTGGATACATATGGTTGGTTCAAATTTGTTTTTATTGGCCAGTGGATACATATGGTTGGTTCAAATTTGTTTTTATTGGCCAGTGGATACATATGGTTAGTTCAAATTTGTTTTTATTGGCCAGTGGATACATATGGTTGGTTCAAATTTGTTTTTATTGGCCAGTGGATACATATGGTTGGTTCAAATTTGTTTTTATTGGCCAGTGGATAAATATGGTTGGTTCAAATTTGTTTTTATTGGCCAGTGGATACATATGGTTGGTTCAAATTTGTTTTTATTGGCCAGTGGATACATATGGTTGGTTCAAATTTGTTTTTATTGGCCAGTGGATACATATGGTTGGTTCAAATTTGTTCAACTGTGCTTTATTGGCCAGTGGATACATATGGTTGGTTCAAATTTGTTTTTATTGGCCAGTGGATACATATGGTTGGTTCAAATTTGTTTTTATTGGCCAGTGGATACGTATGGTTGGTTCAAATTTGTTTTTATTGACCAGTGGATACATATGGTTGGTTCAAATTTGTTTTTATTGGCCAGTGGATACATATGGTTGGTTCAAATTTGTTTTTATTGGCAAGTGGATACATATGGTTGGTTCAAATTTGTTTTTATTGGCAAGTGGATACATATGGTTGGTTCAAATTTGTTTTTATTGGCAAGTGGATACATATGGTTGGTTCAAATTTGTTTTTATTGGCCAGTGGATACATATGGTTGGTTCAAATTTGTTTTTATTGGCCAGTGGATACATATGGTTGGTTCAAATTTGTTTTTATTGGCCAGTGGATACATATGGTTGGTTCAAATTTGTTTTTATTGGCAAGTGGATACATATGGTTGGTTCAAATTTGTTTTTATTGGCCAGTGGATACATATGGTTGGTTCAAATTTGTTTTTATTGGCCAGTGGATACATATGGTTGGTTCAAATTTGTTCAACTGTGCTTTATTGGCCAGTGGATACATATGGTTGGTTCAAATTTGTTTTTATTGGCCAGTGGATACATATGGTTGGTTCAAATTTGTTTTTATTGGCCAGTGGATACATATGGTTGGTTCAAATTTGTTTTTATTGGCCAGTGGATACATATGGTTGGTTCAAATTTGTTTTTATTGGCCAGTGGATACATATGGTTGGTTCAAATTTGTTCAACTGTGCTTTATTGGCCAGTGGATACATATGGTTGGTTCAAATTTGTTTTTATTGGCCAGTGGATACATATGGTTGGTTCAAATTTGTTTTTATTGGCCAGTGGATACATATGGTTGGTTCAAATTTGTTTTTATTGGCCAGTGGATACATATGGTTGGTTCAAATTTGTTTTTATTGGCCAGTGGATACATATGGTTGGTTCAAATTTGTTTTTATTGGCAAGTGGATACATATGGTTGGTTCAAATTTGTTTTTATTGGCAAGTGGATACATATGGTTGGTTCAAATTTGTTTTTATTGGCCAGTGGATACATATGGTTGGTTCAAATTTGTTTTTATTGGCCAGTGGATACATATGGTTGGTTCAAATTTGTTCAACTGTGCTTTATTGGCCAGTGGATACATATGGTTGATTCAAATTTGTTTTTATTGGCCAGTGGATACATATGGTTGGTTCAAATTTGTTTTTATTGGCAAGTGGATACATATGGTTGGTTCAAATTTGTTTTTATTGGCCAGTGGATACATATGGTTGGTTCAAATTTGTTTTTATTGGCCAGTGGATACATATGGTTGGTTCAAATTTGTTTTTATTGGCAAGTGGATACATATGGTTGGTTCAAATTTGTTTTTATTGGCAAGTGGATACATATGGTTGGTTCAAATTTGTTTTTATTGGCAAGTGGATACATATGGTTGGTTCAAATTTGTTTTTATTGGCCAGTGGATACATATGGTTGGTTCAAATTTGTTTTTATTGGCAAGTGGATACATATGGTTGGTTCAAATTTGTTTTTATTGGCAAGTGGATACATATGGTTGGTTCAAATTTGTTTTTATTGGCAAGTGGATACATATGGTTGGTTCAAATTTGTTTTTATTGGCAAGTGGATACATATGGTTGGTTCAAATTTGTTTTTATTGGCCAGTGGATACATATGGTTGGTTCAAATTTGTTTTTATTGGCCAGTGGATACATATGGTTGGTTCAAATTTGTTTTTATTGGCCAGTGGATACATATGGTTGGTTCAAATTTGTTTTTATTGGCAAGTGGATACATATGGTTGGTTCAAATTTGTTTTTATTGGCCAGTGGATACATATGGTTGGTTCAAATTTGTTTTTATTGGCCAGTGGATACATATGGTTGGTTCAAATTTGTTCAACTGTGCTTTATTGGCCAGTGGATACATATGGTTGGTTCAAATTTGTTTTTATTGGCCAGTGGATACATATGGTTGGTTCAAATTTGTTTTTATTGGCCAGTGGATACATATGGTTGGTTCAAATTTGTTTTTATTGGCCAGTGGATACATATGGTTGGTTCAAATTTGTTTTTATTGGCCAGTGGATACATATGGTTGGTTCAAATTTGTTTTTATTTGCCAGTGGATACATATGGTTGGTTCAAATTTGTTTTTATTGGCCAGTGGATACATATGGTTGGTTCAAATTTGTTTTTATTGGCCAGTGGATACATATGGTTGGTTCAAATTTGTTTTTATTGGCCAGTGGATACATATTTCTGTTTGTTAACAGCCATGTTTTGTTGACAGCTATGTATGTTGTTTACAGCCATGTATGTATGTTGTTGACAGCCATGTATGTTGTTGACAGCCATGTATGTTGTTGACAGCCATGTATGTATGTTGTTGACAGCCATGTATGTATGTTGACAGCCATGTATGTATGTTGACAGCCATGTATGTATGTTGTTGACAGCCATGTATGTATGTTGACAGCCATGTATGTTGTTGACAGCCCTGTATGTATGTTGTTGACAGCCATGTATGTATGTTGTTGACAGCTATGTATGTTGTTGACAGCTATGTATGTATGTTGTTGACAGCCACCTATGAACATAGCAAGAACAGCTGTGGGATCAGCCAGTCTGGATGGTGTGTTGTATGCTGTGGGGGGTGAGTGTGCACTGGCTGACACACAGGATGACACACTTTACCTGCACTGTGTTGAAATGTACGACCCTGTACGTAAACGCTGGGAACACAAACCTAACATGAAACTTGCCAGGTCATTTGTAGCTGTGGCTGCTGTTGGGGGTTATTTATATGCTATAGGTAAGTGGCTCACATGTCATGTAGAGGTGAGTGGCTCACATGTCATCTAGAGGTAAGTGGCTCACATGTCATCTAGAGGTGAGTGGCTCACATGTCATCTAGAGGTAAGTGGCTCACATGTCATCTAGAGGTAAGTGGCTCACATGTCATCTAGAGGTAAGTGGATCACATGTCATGTAGAGGTAAGTGGCTCACATGTCATCTAGAGGTGAGTGGCTCACATGTCATGTAGAGGTAAGTGGCTCACATGTCATCTAGAGGTGAGTGACTCATGTGTCATCTAGAGGTGAGTGGCTCACATGTCATCTAGAGGTGAGTGGCTCACTTGTCATGTAGAGGTGAGTGGCTCACATGTCATCTAGAGGTGAGTGGCTCACTTGTCATCTAGAGGTGAGTGGCTCATGTGTCATCTAGAGGTGAGTGGCTCTAATGTCGTTTAGAGGAAAGTGGCTCACATGTCATCTAGAGGTAAGTGGATCACATGTCATGTAGAGGTAAGTGGCTCACATGTCATCTAGAGGTGAGTGGCTCACATGTCATGTAGAGGTAAGTGGCTCACATGTCATCTAGAGGTGAGTGGCTCACATGTCATCTAGAGGTGAGTGGCTCACATGTCATGTAGAGGTGAGTGGCTCATGTGTCATCTAGAGGTGAGTGGCTCACATGTCATCTAGAGGTGAGTGGCTCACATGTCATGTAGAGGTGAGTGGCTCACATGTCATGTAGAGGTGAGTGACTCGTGTCATCTAGAGGTGAGTGGCTCACATGTCATCTAGAGGTGAGTGACTCGTGTCATCTAGAGGTGAGTGGCTCACATGTCATCTAGAGGTGAGTGACTCATGTGTCATCCAGAGGTGAGTGGCTCTCACGTCATCTAGAGGTGAGTGGCTCTCACGTCATCTAGAGGTGAGTGGCTCACATGTCATGTAGAGGTGAGTGGCTCACATGTCATCTAGAGGTGAGTGACTCATGTGTCATCTAGAGGTGAGTGGCTCACATGTCATGTAGAGGTGAGTGGCTCATGTGTCATCTAGAGGTGAGTGGCTCACATGTCATCTAGAGGTGAGTGGCTCACATGTCATGTAGAGGTGAGTGGCTCACATGTCATGTAGAGGTGAGTGACTCGTGTCATCTAGAGGTGAGTGGCTCACATGTCATCTAGAGGTGAGTGACTCGTGTCATCTAGAGGTGAGTGGCTCACATGTCATCTAGAGGTGAGTGACTCATGTGTCATCCAGAGGTGAGTGGCTCTCACGTCATCTAGAGGTGAGTGGCTCTCACGTCATCTAGAGGTGAGTGGCTCACATGTCATGTAGAGGTGAGTGGCTCACATGTCATCTAGAGGTGAGTGACTCATGTGTCATCTAGAGGTGAGTGGCTCACATGTCATCTAGAGGTGAGTGGCTCACATGTCATCTAGAGGTGAGTGGCTCACTTGTCATCTAGAGGTGAGTGGCTCACATGTCATCTAGAGGTGAGTGGCTCACATGTCATCTAGAGGTGAGTGGCTCATGTGTCATCTAGAGGTGAGTGGCTCATGTGTCATCTAGAGGTGAGTGGCTCACTTGTCATGTAGAGGTGAGTGGCTCACATGTCATCTAGAGGTGAGTGGCTCACATGTCATGTAGAGGTGAGTGGCTCATGTGTCATCTAGAGGTGAGTGGCTCACATGTCATCTAGAGGTAAGTGGCTCACATGTCATCTTGTGGTGAGTGGCTCACATGTCATCTAGAGGTGAGTGGCTTAAGTCTCATCTAGAGGTGAGTGACTCACATGTCGACTAGTGGGTCATGTGTAAACTAGTGGGTCATATGTAAGCTAGTTTGTCATGTGTAAGCTAGTGGGTCATATGTAAGCTAGTTTGTCATGTGTAAACTAGTGGGTCATATGTAAGCTAGTTTGTCATGTGTAAGCTAGTGGGTCATGTGTAAGCTATAGCTTAGTGGGTCATGTGTAAGCTATAGGTTAGTGGGTCATGTGTAAGCTAGTATCTCATCTGTAAGCTAGTGGGTCATGTTTAAGCTATAGGTTAGTGGGTCATGTGTAAGGTAGTAGGTCATGTGTAAGCTAGTGGGTCATGTGTAAGGTAGTGGGTCATGTGTAAGCTTTAGGTTAGTGGGTAAGTAAGGTAGTGGGTCATGTGTAAGCTGTAGGTTAGTGGGTCATGTGTAAGCTAGTGGGTCATGTGTAAGGCAGTGGGTCATGTGTAATTAGTGAGTCATGTGTAAGCTGTAGGCTAGTGGGTCATGTGTAAGCTGTAGGCTAGTGCAGGGGTCTCCATCCTCTCATCCGGCCCGCGGAGATCTTTTTGTCCACGGAAAAAACGTTTGTTGGTGATGGCTGAGGAACTTTGCCCAGAAAAATCAAAGACATGCCTGGAACTAACTGGCCCCCAAACTGAAAATTGATAGTTAATGCGGCCCTCGGGCTGAAAAGTGGGTCATGTGTAAGGCAGTGGGTCATGTTTAGGCTAGTGGGTCATGTGTAAGCTGTAGGCTAGTGGGTCATGTGTACGCTAGTAAGTCATGTTTAGGTTAGTGGGTCATGTGTAAGATAGTGGGTCATGTGTAAGCTAGTGGGTCATGTGTAAGCTATAGGTTAGTGGGTCATGTGTAAGATAGTGGGTCATGTGTAAGCTAGTGGGTCATGTGTAAGCTGTATGTAGTGGGTAGATTTGTGTCAGATAAGGCTTGACAAATGCAACATTTCAGGTGGTGAAGACAGAGCGGGCAGCTACAATATCGTGGAGCGTTATGATCCCAAGGTAGAGACGTGGACACTGGTCAGTTGTATGAAACGTAGGAGGGCTGGTGCAGGGGTCACTGTCTGTGATGGAAAAATTTATGTCGCAGGTACAAGATTTTTTCTAGGTTAAAGCTCTATTCTATGTAACATAGATAATATATCTTGCCCTGTTGGTATCTCTAGTATATCATATCCCAGGTGGTATCTCTAGTGTATCATATCCCAGGTGGTATCTCTAGTGTATCATATCCCAGGTGGTATCTCTAGTGTATTATATCCCAGGTGGTATCTCTAGTATATCTTGCCCAGGTGGTATCTCTAGTGTATCTTGCCCAGGTGGTATCTCTAGTGTATTATATCCCAGGTGGTATCTCTAGTATATCTTGCCCAGGTGGTATCTCTAGTATATCTTGCCCAGGTGGTATCTCTAGTATATCATATCCCAGGTGGTATCTCTAGTGTATCATATCCCAGGTGGTATCTCTAGTGTATCATATCCCAGGTGGTATCTCTAGTGTATCATATCCCAGGTGGTATCTCTAGTGTATCATATCCCAGGTGGTATCTCTAGTGTATCATATCCCAGGTGGTATCTCTAATATATCTTGCCCAGGTGGTATCTCTAGTGTATCATATCCCAGGTGGTATCTCTAGTGTATCATATCCCAGGTGGTATCTCTAGTATATCTTGCCCAGGTGGTATCTCTAGTGTATTATATCCCAGGTGGTATCTCTAGTGTATCATATCCCAGGTGGTATCTCTAGTGTATCATATCCCAGGTGGTATCTCTAGTGTATCATATCCCAGGTGGTATCTCTAGTATATCTTGCCCAGGTGGTATCTCTAGTGTATTATATCCCAGGTGGTATCTCTAGTGTATCTTGCCCAGGTGGTATCTCTAGTGTATTATATCCCAGGTGGTATCTCTAGTATATCTTGCCCAGGTGGTATCTCTAGTGTATTATATCCCAGGTGGTATCTCTAGTGTATCATATCGCAGGTGGTATCTCTAGTGTATTATATCCCAGGTGGTATCTCTAGTGTATTATATATATCCCAGGTGGTATCTCTAGTATATGTTGCCCATGTGGTATCTCTAGTGTATTATATCCCAGGTGGTATCTCTAGTGTATTATATATATCCCAGGTGGTATCTCTAGTATATCTTGCCCAGGTGGTATCTCTAGTGTATCTTGCCCAGGTGGTATCTCTAGTGTATCTTGCCCAGGTGGTATCTCTAGTATATGTTGCCCAGGTGGTATCTCTAGTGTATTATATCCCAGGTGGTATCTCTAGTATATCTTTATGTACAGATGACACTGTAAATTATTTGTTCTGTCCAGGTGGTTATGATAAAGGTCCTCATATGTACAGATGACACTGTAAATTATTTGTTCTGTCCAGGTGGTTATGATAAAGGTCCTCATATGGACAGATGACATTGTAAATTATTTGTTCTGTCCAGGTGGTTATGATAAAGGTCCTCATATGTACAGATGACACTGTAAATGATTTGTTCTGTCCAGGTGGTTATGATAAAGGTCCTCATATGTACAGATGACACTGTAAATTATTTGTTCTGTCCAGGTGGTTATGATAAAGGTCCTCATATGTACAGATGACACTGTAAATTATTTGTTCTGTCCAGGTGGTTATGATAAAGGTCCTCATATGGACAGATGACACTGTAAATTATTTGTTCTGTCCAGGTGGTTATGATAAAGGTCCTCATATGTACAGATGACACTGTAAATTATTTGTTCTGTCCAGGTGGTTATGATAAAGGTCCTCATATGTACAGATGACACTGTAAATTATTTGTTCTGTCCAGGTGGTTATGATAAAGGTCCTCATATGGACAGAGCAAGCATGGAGGTGTATGACCCAGATAGCGGAGACTGGACATTTGCACCAGAAATGGAGAAAGCCTGCTCTGGACTTTCTATGGTCACACTTGACCATTTAATTTATGCCTTTGGTGGTCGATACCGACATATAGACCAGTACTTTGATTTAGTTGAAAGGTAAGAGAGAAGGCAACTTGCCACACCTCAATTTGCCATAATTTGGATTAGTGTGGGTGGCCAACTTTGCCATAATTTGGATTAGCGTGGGTGGCCAACTTTGCCATAATTTGGTTTAATAAGAGCGGCCAACTTTGCCATAATTTGGTTTAGTAAGAGCGGCCGACTTTGCCATAATTTGGTTTAGTAAGGGCGGCCAACTTTGCCATAATTTGGTTTAGTAAGGGCGGCCAACTTTGCCATAATTTGGTTTAGTAAGGGCGGCCAACTTTGCCATAATTTGGTTTAGTAAGGGCGGCTAACTTTGCCATAATTTGGTTTAGTAAGGGCGGCCAACTTTGCCATAATTTGGTTTAGTAAGGGCGGCCAACTTTGCCATAATTTGGTTTAGTAAGGGCGGCCAACTTTGCCATAATTTGGTTTAGTAAGGGCGGCCAACTTTGCCATAATTTGGTCTATTAAGGGTGTAAGGGTTATTTTCTTTACCCAGAGTGAGTCTGGCTACTTTGTATTTGATTCAGATACAATACCATGACCCGCTTATACTTTGTATTTGATTCAGATACAATACTGTGACTTGCCTATACTTTGTATTTGATTCAGATACAATACTGTGACTTGCCTATACTTTGTATTTGATTCAGATACAATACTGTGACTTGCCTATACTTTGTATTTGATTCAGATACAATACTGTGACTTGCCTATACTTTGTATTTGATTCAGATACAATACTGTGACTTGCCTATACTTTGTATTTGATTCAGATACAATACTGTGACTTGCCTATACTTTGTATTTGATTCAGATACAATACTGTGACTTGCCTATACTTTGTATTTGATTCAGATACAATACTGTGACCCGCCAGTGGACCACCATCACACCTATGACAACCCCCCGCGCATGGTTTGGTATAGCTGTCTTTGACAACAGAATCTATGTGTGCGGGGGTTTTGATGGCAACTCAAGACTTCGCCACTGTGAAATGTATGACCCTGAGTCAGACACTTGGACTGTGATATGTGGCATGAAGATTGGCCGAGCAGGGTGTGGGGCCACTGTTGTATGAAGATTGGCAGGGTGTGGGGCCACTGTTGTATGTAGATTGGCAGGGTGTGGGGCCACTGTTGTATGAAGATTGGGCTGGCAGGGTGTGGGGCCACTGTTGTATGAAGATTGGGCTGGCAGGGTGTGGGGCCACTGTTGTATGTAGATTGGCAGGGTGTGGGGCCACTGTTGTATGAAGATTGGCAGGGTGTGGGGCCACTGTTATATGTAGATTTGCCAGGGGGGTGGGGAGATTGGGCCATTGTTGTATAACTTGTTCTTTGTATACTTGTAAATATCTAACTGATGAGTTGCTTAGATTCACAGTTCTCAAACTATTGAAAGCCTGACATTATTGGTTCTTGTCATTTGTTCATGTCATACTGGTCTCCTATCTCAGACATTCTACTTGTCTACTGTCCTGTTCAATGTCCTACTTGTCTACTGTCCTGTTCAATGTCCTACTTGTCTACTGTCCTGTTCAATGTCCTACTTGTCTACTGTCCTGTTCAATGTCCTACTTGTCTACTGTCCTGTTCAATGTCCTACTTGTCTACTGTCCTGTTCAATGTCCTACTTGTCTACTGTCCTGTTCAATGTCCTACTTGTCTACTGTCCTGTTCAATGTCCTACTTGTCTACTGTCCTGTTCAATGTCCTACTTGTCTACTGTCCTGTTCAATGTCCTACTTGTCTACTGTCCTGTTCAATGTCCTACTTGTCTACTGTCCTGTTCAATGTCCTACTTGTCTACTGTCCTGTTCAATGTCCTACTTGTCTACTGTCCTGTTCAATGTCCTACTTGTCTACTGTCCTGTTCAATGTCCTACTTGTCTACTGTCCTGTTCAATGTCCTACTTATCTACTGTCCTGTTTAATGTCCTATTAGAGATGGTGAAACAGCTTTGACTCAACCATTTCAGTATTTTATTTCCCCTGAATTTTTATTTCAACTCTTGTCATGATTAACTAAGTGAAACTTAAAGAAGTGAATGGTTTCAATGTTAGTGAAACTTAAAGAAGTGAATGGTTTCAATGTTAGTGAAACTTTAGAAAGTGAATGGTTTCAATGTTAGTGAAACTTTAAGAAGTGAATGGTTTCAATGTTAGTGAAACTTTAAGAAGTGAATGGTTTCAATGTTAGTGAAACTTAAAGAAGTGAATGGTTTCAATGTTAGTGAAACTTAAAGAAGTGAATGGTTTCAATGTTAGTGAAACTTTAGAAAGTGAATGGTTTCAATGTTAGTGAAACTTTAAGAAGTGAATGGTTTCAATGTTAGTGAAACTTTAAGAAGTGAATGGTTTCAATGTTAGTGAAACTTTAAGAAGTGAATGGTTTCAATGTTAGTGAAACTTTAAGAAGTGAATGGTTTCAATGTTAGTGAAACTTTTGTAAGTGAATGGTTTCAATGTTAGTGAAACTTTAGAAAGTGAATGTTTTCAATGTTAGTGAAACTTAAAGAAGTGAATGGTTTCAATGTTAGTGAAACTTAAAGAAGTGAATGGTTTCAATGTTAGTGAAACTTTAGAAAGTGAATGGTTTCAATGTTAGTGAAACTTTAAGAAGTGAATGGTTTCAATGTTAGTGAAACTTTAAGAAGTGAATGGTTTCAATGTTAGTGAAACTTTAAGAAGTGAATGGTTTCAATGTTAGTGAAACTTTAAGAAGTGAATGGTTTCAATGTTAGTGAAACTTTTGTAAGTGAATGGTTTCAATGTTAGTGAAACTTTAGAAAGTGAATGTTTTCAATGTTAGTGAAACTTTAAGAAGTGAATGGTTTCAATGTTAGTGAAACTTTAAGAAGTGAATGGTTTCAATGTTAGTGAAACTTTAAGAAGTGAATGGTTTCAATGTGTACCAGGAAAAAAAATCTCAGTGGTTGCTGTAATAGTCCTTCTATTGTTTTGATTTTTTTTGTTCTACTGTTGTTTTGATTTTTAAAAAAAATTGTTGGTTTTTCTCCTTTTAAGAAGTAAAGGGTTAGCAAGATAGAAAACTTGTACAAAATTTAGTTCTGGACTGGTCTCTTTTTTCAAAAGAATAATTCAATATTTGAATTGAAATGCTGATATTAAAAATGTACATTTGTTTCTGTATTAATTGTATGAGTTGATCCCATGTTTTGTGTATACTGCAGTCAGAAGTAATTTGCATTTATTTTTGTGATATTCACTGCCAGCAGAGGTGTACATTGTTACAGTCTTACTTGTCAAGTTTTGTACACAGGTCTCAATTGACAAGTTTCTTATATAGGTACAGCAGTCTCACACGACTATAAAAATCCAAGAAATGTATAAGAATTATTGTGCAATATGGTATGATTGGATGCAAATATGCCAGAAAGAAATCAACTGTGTATTTAAAATTCTTGTTTTACCCAGTAGATATAAATGAGATTGTAATTTGTGTCAAACTTTTTTGTTTTAATGGAAATATTCCTTCTTTTTTTTGTAACAATCTTTTTAAGTGCACACATTTTTGTAAGTAAATGATTTGTAAAATGGATGTTAATAAGGAATACCATGGTGTGATGAGTGGAAGCCTTTTTCTCTAATCAAATGATCTGACTCGTTCCTAAATGGCCAGGTTTATATGGGAAATATTTCATTCCAAAACTAATGTTCCCACTGCCAGGGAGGAATTACATTTGCCCCCTTTAAGTCTAGAAAACAAGCATGAGCTTACTGGGCAGAAAACTTGGGACAGCTGTCTCAAGCTATCCCCCATTGCTGTGGTTGTCCAAATGTGAGTAGTTTATTTTTTAGCTCTTCAGATTAATTTATCTGCTTTTGGATTGTTTGAAGTATGCAGGATTTTTATGTCTTTGTAAAATTGCATAATAAAAGTGTTTAATTTTTCATTTTCTTGTTTAAAATTTATTGCTATAAATTAACATAAAAAATGGTTGTAAGGACAAAAGTCTGATCTAACTATAGCTGAGGAAAAACTGAGTTTTAAGATGTAGTATTTCATTGCAACATTATCACCAACACAACAAGATTGTGACAGTAGTGTCAAGATTTTATTGTGATAAGGTGAGACACTAAACTCTATCACTGACTCTCCTATTTATGCCAACTCTATCACTGACTCTCCTATTTATGCCAATTCTATCACTGACTCTCCTGTTTATGCCAATTCTATCACTGACTCTCCTGTTTCTGCATTCAAGACCAGACTATTACAGTAATTGATAATTTTCTCCACAATGCTTTGAAAGGCTGCAACTGCTGGGGAATCAGGAACTTCTTCAATGAAAGATTTTCCTTCATCACAGCATTTGGCAATTCTTGGATCTAGTGGTAAACTGCCCAGAAACTTTTCTCCCAAGTTTTCTGACATTTTTAGGGCCCCGCCTGTGGTGGGTGGGAATATAACAGATGATTTCTGGCATTTTGGACAGACAAAGTCACTCATGTTTTCAACAATACCAATGATTGGCAAGTTTGTTTTACGACAGAAACTGATCTCTTTTCTGACATCACACAGAGCTACCTCTTGGGGCGTGGTCACTATGACTACTCCATCAATACCTGCACCGGACAAAAACTGAATCAGTGCCAGATGTTCATCAGACGTCCCTGGTGGGGTGTCCACCAGCAGGAAGTCGAGTTTATCCCAGTCCACGTCTCGCAGAAACTGTTTAATCAAGCCAGACTTTTTAGCACCTCTCCATATGACAGCCTCATCTGGTGATCCTGCCAGGACAAAACAAAACTTTTGACCACTGGTAGAATTGTGTTATGTGGTGACCCTATTAAAACTTTTGACCACTGGTATAATTGTGTTATGTGGTGACCCTATTAAAACTTTTGACCACTGGTATAATTGTGTTATGTGGTGACCCTATTAAAACTTTTGACCACTGGTATAATTGTGTTATGTGGTGACCCTATTAAAACTGTTGACCACTGGTATAATTGTGTTATGTGGTGACCCTATTAAAACTTTTGACCACTGGTATAATTGTGTTATGTGGAAACCCTACATGGTTTAATTTAGTAAAACGTCCCTGAATCCCCCTTATAACCTATGTTATTGAAATTATAGGTGGCTGGGCATGCATAGTGCTGACCACATCATCTTTTCATATGCCGAGGTCATTGAAATAGATGAACTCTACTTCATCTCCCCCCATGTGTCTTGAGCAAGAACAGGCAGAGATGATGATTGCTTTATGCTGTGACCCTACCAAAACAAAAGTTTTTGACTGCTAGAATGATTGCCTTTTGGCTATGGTCGCCTTATAACAAAAAGTTTTTGACTGCTAGAATGATTGCCTTTTGGCTATGGTCGCCTTATAACAAAAAGTTTTTGACTGCTAGAATGATTGCCTTTTGGCTATGGTCGCCTTATGCCATGACCCTGCCAGAACAATTTGTTACCTTCAAGATGTGAGTTTTAAAATCTTCACACACTCAAATAAGTGAAGCAAACTAAAGAAAAGATTCAAGACAAGAAAATGTTGTATGTCCCTGACCACATACTTGTTTGAAGAAATGAAAGCAGCAAGGGCTGCATCAACAAACCTAAGAGGAATCCTATTGACATCATGGAGAGATTTTCACGCACATACACGGGTGACCAACCAGAGCCACTCTGGTGAACTGTCTCTCCTTCTGTACCCATAATTCTTGGCATGGAAGGACCACAAATATCAACATCAAGAACGCCAATCTAATGGTCAAATCAAATGTTCTTTATAAATATCATCAAACCTCATCTGCTAACACATCCTAGTTTAAATCAACCCCATAACCCATGGCCTAACCCAAGGCCTAGCACACAAATCTAGACTAAATCAACCCCATAACCCATGGCCTAACCCAGGGGTTCCCAACCTTTTTTTTACTCTAGAGCACATTTTAAAATATCGGTAGGGTGGCGGGCACCACCTATTTTAAATCGACAAACTCCATCCAGAGGCGTAGCGACCCTTCCCGTCACCCGGGTACAAAACTTTCGATTTGCACCCCCCCCCCTCAAACTTTTGATTTCCATCCCCTTCAACCTTTCAGTAATGTTAATGAAAAAAATTCTGTCTCTGTCGAATAGTGAGAGGCGGGCACATACGAATCGTTTTGCGGGCGCCCGCGGGCACGGGGTTGGGAACCCCTGGCCTAACCCAAGGCCTAGCACACAAATCTAGACTAAATCAATCCCATAACCCCTGGCCTAGCACACAAATCTAGACTAAATCAACCCCATAACCCATGGCCTAGCACATAAATCTAGACTAAATCAAGCACAGAACCCATGGCCTAGCACACAAATCTAGACTAAATCAATCCCATAACCCATGGCCTAGCACACAAATCTAGACTAAATCAACCCCATAACCCATGGCCTAGCACACAAATCTAGACTAAATCAATCCCATAACCCATGGCCTAGCACACAAATCTAGACTAAATCAACCCCATAACCCATGGCCTAGCACACAAATCTAGACTAAATCAAGCACAGAACCCCTGGCCTAGCACACAAATCTAGACTAAATCAACCCCATAACCCATGGCCTAGCACACAAATCTAGACTAAATCAATCCCATAACCCATGGCCTAGCACACAAATCTAGACTAAATCAACCCCATAACCCATGGCCTAGCACACAAATCTAGACTAAATCAACCCCATAACCCATGGCCTAGCACACAAATCTAGACTAAATCAAGCACAGAACCCCTGGCCTAGCACACAAATCTAGACTAAATCAACCCCATAACCCATGGCCTAGCACACAAATCTAGACTAAATCAATCCCATAACCCATGGCCTAGCACACAAATCTAGACTAAATCAACCCCATAACCCCTGGCCTAGCACACAAATCTAGACTAAATCAACCCCATAACCCATGGACTAGCACACAAATCTAGACTAAATCAAGCACAGAACCCCTGGCCTAGCACACAAATCTAGACTAAATCAATCCCATAACCCATGGCCTAGCACACAAATCTAGACTAAATCAACCCCATAACCCCTGGCCTAGCACACAAATCTAAACTAAATCAACCCCATAACCCATGGCCTAGCACACAAATCTAGACTAAATTAATCCCATAACCCATGGCCTAGCACACAAATCTAGACTAAATCAACCCCATAACCCATGGCCTAGCACACAAATCTAGACTAAATCAACCCCATAACCCATGGCCTAGCACACAAATCTAGACTAAATCAAGCACAGAACCCCTGGCCTAGCACACAAATCTAGACTAAATCAATCCCATAACCCAGCACACAAATCTAGACTAAATCAACCCCATAACCCCTGGCCTAGCACACAAATCTAGACTAAATCAACCCCATAACCCATGGCCTAGCACACAAATCTAGACTAAATCAATCCCATAACCCATGGCCTAGCACACAAATCTAGACTAAATCAACCCCATAACCCATGGCCTAGCACACAAATCTAGACTAAATCAACCCCATAACCCATGGCCTAGCACACAAATCTAGACTAAATCAATCCCATAACCCCTGGCCTAGCACACAAATCTAGACTAAATCAAGCACAGAATCCAAGGCCTAGCACACAAATCTAGACAAAATCAAGCACAAAATGAAATTTGTTTAAAAGACAGAGATTTTGTTAAAGGAGGTTAATTTGACAAGTTTCTCAAACTTGATCTGAAAGTCAAATCACTTCAATGTTTTTCCTTATCTTGAATTTAAAAAAAAAAAAAAACGTTAATTAGTTTTAGTGCAGTGAGTACTGTGTATCAGAAAGATTTGGATTTTTTTAGTAAAATGTTTATCTTTAAAACATTAACATTCATAGAATAATGGTTTCCCAGATGAAATTGACCCACAAAAGTCATGCACCTTAATGACAATAATGCCAAGGGATAACAAGCTATACAGCTTTAAAGTCGGGCTAGTTGTACCTGTCTGTTTTCATCCATTGCAAGCGCATGTGCCAGGTGAGCTGTAAATGTGCTTTTACCTACTCCACCTTTACCTGATAAAACCAGAATCTAAAGAGAAAAACAACATTAGGACTCATTCAAAAATAAATTGATGCCATATTTAAATGAGAAAATGCTACAATTATTACACTGATGTAGAGATTACAATAAATGCAACAAAAAATGACCTTATGTTTGACACAGGAAAGTTTTAATCTTATTTCTTCAATGGCAGGATCCTGTGCCTTTGGTAAACTTGAGCAGATGGACTGATTGGGGCAGCCAGCACAAGCCTCTGATTGGCCAGCTTGTTCACTGTTAGTTCCTGGGCAATGGCTTGGAGCATTTTCAGGAATGTTGGACATTTTCATCTAGATCTATGTAAAATAAGTTTTAGTTCATTACTTGAGTAGAAAAGATTATTATATATAATTTACATAGGAACAAATCACAGCTGCTCTATGAACTAAATATTGCATTCAAAAAATTTCAAATCCTCTTTGAGATAGTAGACCAATTCCTTAATTTCATTAATTACTGGTTTTAACTTGAAACAAAGTGTCAGCAATCTCAGGCTATACAGGAGACTCTTTTTAGTTTAGTTGTATATCACTAAATATTTTAATATATAGTGTGGTGTGTCTAGGGCTAAGTGTCGCATGGTGGCACCCCCCCCCCCCTTCCCTGCCTGACCACAGCCAGATGCCCCCATCTAGGTGGCTCGCGTTGGGCACAAGCATGTGGCTCGTGTTGGGCACAAGCACGTGGCTCATGTTGGGCACAAGCATGTGGCTAGCATTGGGCACAAGCATGTGGCTCGTGTTGGGCACAAGCATGTGGCTAGCATGTGGCTCGTGTTGGGCACAAGCATGTGGCTAGCATTGGGCACAAGCATGTGGCTCGTGTTGGGCACAAGCACATGGCTCGTGTTGGGCACAAGCATGTGGCTAGCATTGGGCACAAGCATGTGGCTCGTGTTGGGCACAAGCATGTGGCTCGTGTTGGGCACAAGCATGTGGCTAGCATTGGGCACAAGCATGTGGCTCGTGTTGGGCACAAGCATGTGGCTCGTGTTGGGCACAAGCATGTGGCTAGCATGTGGCTCGTGTTGGGCACAAGCACATGGCTCGTGTTGGGCACAAGCATGTGACTCGTGTTGGGCACAAGCACATGACTCGTGTTGGGCACAAGCATGTGGCTCGTGTTGGGCACAAGCATGTGGCTCGTGTTGGGCACAAGCATGTGGCTAGCATTGGGCACAAGCATGTGGCTCGTGTTGGGCACAAGCATGTGGCTAGCGTTGGGCACAAGCATGTGGCTAGCATTGGGCACAAGCATGTGGCTAGCATTGGGCACAAGCATGTGGCTCGTGTTGGGCACAAGCATGTGGCTCGTGTTGGGCACAAGCATGTGGCTAGCATGTGGCTCGTGTTGGGCACAAGCACATGGCTCGTGTTGGGCACAAGCATGTGACTCGTGTTGGGCACAAGCACATGACTCGTGTTGGGCACAAGCATGTGACTCGTGTTGGGCACAAGCATGTGGCTAGTGTTGGGCACAAGCACATGGCTCGTGTTGGGCACAAGCACATGGCTCGTGTTGGGCACAAGCATGTGACTCGTGTTGGGCACAAGCATGTGGCTAGTGTTGGGCACAAGCACATGGCTCGTGTTGGGCACAAGCACATGGCTCGTGTTGGGCACAAGCATGTGACTCGTGTTGGGCACAAGCATGTGGCTAGCATGTGGCTCGTGTTGGGCACAAGCACATGGCTCGTGTTGGGCACAAGCACGTGGCTCGTGTTGGGCACAAGCACATGGCTCGTGTTGGGCACAAGCACGTGGCTCGTGTTGGGCACAAGCACATGGCTCGTGTTGGGCACAAGCATGTGGCTCGTGTTGGGCACAAGCATGTGGCTCGTGTTGGGCACAAGCACATGGCTCATGTTGGGCACAAGCACGTGGCTCATGTTGGGCACAAGCATGTGGCTCATGTTGGGCACAAGCATGTGGCTCGTGTTGGGCACAAGCATGTGGCTCGTGTTGGGCACAAGCATGTGGCTCGTGTTGGGCACAAGCATGTGACTCGTGTTGGGCACAAGCATGTGACTCGTGTTGGGCACAAGCATGTGGCTCGTGTTGGGCACAAGCACATGGCTCGTGTTGGGCACAAGCATGTGGCTCGTGTTGGGCACAAGCACGTGGCTCGTGTTGGGCACAAGCACATGGCTCGTGTTGGGCACAAGCATGTGGCTCGTGTTGGGCACAAGCATGTGGCTCGTGTTGGGCACAAGCATGTGGCTAGCATTGGGCACAAGCATGTGACTCATGTTGGGCACAAGCATGTGGCTAGCATTGGGCACAAGCATGTGGCTCGTGTTGGACACATCTAGGAACTCTTGCGCTCTGGCTGGTGACCTTTACATGAAAGTCATATGGCAGGTGATTCCTTGTGAGCAGTTTTTAAAAAATTTTCCTCGATGGGTTGTTGTCCCCAGTTATCAAGTCTTATATGTCCGGGGGTTTGAACTCTGGACTTTTCGGCTCAGCAACCAAGAGCTTTACCTACCCAGCCACTCCATACTCATATAGTTCTATATTTTATATAGCTTGGTAAATAAGCATATCTTTCATTAATAATCTTTTTATATAATAAATAAAATAATAAAAAGCACAAAAACATACTAAAATAAAAAAAAAAAAAACAACAACTATAGTCAAAACATTAATTAGCAGCAAATCCAGTCCATAAATTGTCTTTCTGTCACTATATAAGAGTGCCACAGTCATGAATTGAATACTTGTGGTTGTCCTTTGAATTTCTTTGACTTATTATTATATTTCTATTGCCAACATGCTCCATCATAATGTAAAAAGTTTTTTTATCTTCATCTCTTCATTAACATCATAGTTGTGTAGTTTGAAAAAAGTCACTGTAGAATAGCAGCCACCCCTTAATTAGGCTTAATAATTTGTAATTTTCCTTCTAATGATCTTTTTTTACGTGCATATTTCTTGTATTGCCTACACAAGCATTAGTATTAGTATTATTAATTCAATATGCAGTTTAATCACAATGTCTTAAATAATAGCAATGGTAATATATTAACAGTAAACTTCAAGTGTAGGCATTCTGATGAAAATATAAAAATAGTTTGCGATTAAAAAAAAGTATTTCAAATTAATGACAATGCATGTTTAGTATGTCTAGTCAATTTAAATTTAGCATATATATATTGACTTTTTGTAATGTCATTATTAACGGAAAAAAATCGAAAGTGACGGTTGGCCTATCATTCACTGCCTTCGTAAAAAACTACTTGGCAAATACTTGGCATGTGACCTCCATAAAAACTTGGTTTACTCTTGTTTGCTTTTAGATTGAAGTAAAAATGTGGTAAATCCTACCCAAATATGTAAATATTTCAATATATGCCTGAAATTAACTTTAAGTGTTTTTTGGTAAACTTATAGCGGGAGATTCAGGGGAAGCCACTCTATTTTACAAATGGCTGCTGTTTATATAGCAAATGGTAATCTATTGTTTTACGTACGTAAAATTGCCAGCGACTAGTAATGTGAAAAACAGGTGACTCCTTAAATTTGAAAAATTATTTCACACTTTGAGGAGGATTTATGTTTTGAAAATACAAAAATGTTTCCTTGTTTCATTTATGTACTTGTTTTCAACAATTGAAAAAAAACTTTTCAGTAGTAATAAATATTAAAGGAAGACTGGCGATGTTTCCAACAGATGCAACCATATTTATTTACTATAGCAGCCATGTTGTTTAATTTTATTTTTTTGTAAACTTATAGCATGAGATTCAGGGGAAGCCACTCTATTTTACAAATGATATATAATATATAATATATAGGCCTAATCTTTTTATTTAGCCATTGATTTAGGTTTATTATTCATTAACATAATCATTTATCATTTACCTATAATATTTAAATTTACTATTTACTAATACTACAAATAGAATGGTAATCTATCGTTTTAGGTACGTAAAATCGCACGCGACTAGTAATGTGAAAAACAGGTGACTCCTTACATTTTAATAATTATTTCACATTTTGAGGAGGATTTATGTTTTGAAAAATACAAAAATGTTTCATTGTTTCATTTATGTACCTGTTTTTAAACAATTGAATTAAAACTTTTCAGTAATAAATGAACACTAGCGATGTTTCCAATAGAAGCAACCATGCTCATTTACTATAGCAGCCATCTTGTCAAAGTTTTATTTTTATAGACTTATAGCGCAAGATTCAGGCAGAAGTCACTCTATTTTACAAATGGCTGCCGTTTATATAGCAAATCTTGCTTGCAGGAACTGCTTTTTAAAGTTAATTTCTGGCCTATATTGATATATTTAGCCATTGATTTAGGTTTGTTATTCATTTATCTATAATATTTGACACAAACATATCACAATATACTTCTATTACAGCCTTGACAATGAGGTAACGTTTTCGTACATTAATAGCCGCTGGCGATTTTACGTACCCAAAACGATAGATTACCATTTTAACTCTACTAGTAGTGTACTAGTTAAAACGGTAATCTATCGTTTTAGGTACGTAAAATCGCCCGCGACTAGTAATGTGAAAAACAGGTGACTCCTTAGGCCTACATTTTAATAATTATTTCACATTTTGAGGAGGATTTATGTTTTGAAAAATACAAAAATGTTTCCTTGTTTCATTTATGACTATGTACCTGTTTTTAAACAATTGAATCAAAACTTTTTAGTAATAAATGAACACCAGCGATGTTTCCAACAGATGCAACCATGCTCATTTACTATAGCAGCCATCTTGTTAAAGTTTTATTTTTATAGACTTATAGCGCGAGATTCAGGCGGAAGTCACTCTATTTTACAAATGGCTGCTGTTTATACACTGCTGTTTAAAGTTAATTTCTGGCCTATATATATTGATGTATTTAGTATTTAGCCATTGATTTAGGTTTATTATTCATTTATCTATAATAATATTTGACTTAATTGACACAAACATATCACAATATACTATACTTCTATTACAGCCTTGACAATGAGGTAACGTTTTCGTACATTAATAGCCGCGGGCGATTTTACGTACCTAAAAAGATAGATTACCGTTAATACTATACTTAACTATACTACTTAATACTTAATTAATAATATTAATTAGGGACTTGGATGACGTAGATTTTGCCCCTCTAAAAACGAGAGTTTTTTCCCCATACCGTAACCTAGTGAATTTAGCCGTGCGGCAGTGGGTGATAATTAAAAAAAAATAATTTCACTATTAATCACCATTGTTAATAGAAAAGTGTCACTTTATTCTGAAAGACAAATGGATTTCACCGATTGCTGTGTTATTTTTGTTTTTTTCTGCTACCAGTGCGTGATGGTGTGTTTCAGGCAAAAATTGGGTAAGTAAAACTTATTGTTCCATAAAAATTTACTGTCGCTCTAGGCTAGAAATGCGATCTCCGAGCGTAAACACCATTTTTACATATGTGTTTCAAATTTCATTCAGTTATTCATTAGCGACGTATTTTTTTATAAATAACTTTGAAAGCATAGGGCTTACAACAGCTTAAGATTGCCGGAAAAGATCGAGGTTAAAACCGGAAGTGGTGTGTTGTTGTTAATGACGCTATACAATGTAAATCTACTTGATTATCTAAATCCAGCAAAATCCACATGAATCTGACTCCAAAAGCTTTTTAAATTATCGAATTACATTTGTTATTTATTAAACTTGTTATTTTTGATGACTTTTCATTTGTATTTTGTTGTTAGATTCATTAATTAGGTAATTTTAGGATTGTAAATAAGATCGTTTTTTTCTCTCAGTTTGCGATGTTTATTTTTTAAACAGTAGATTCTAGATCTAAATTGTTAACTTAAGAATTATATTTAAAAACAAAAGAATGTTAGTTATATTAAGTGTGCTTTTCTATACAAATTTCTTAAATGAACAAGTTAATTTTAAAGCTTAATAGTAGGCCCTATGGCTGTAGAAGTATTTGCATAATAGATGATAGGGCCTAGATCTAGTATAAATCTACTATAGACCTATTACAGGCTATTACACTTAGTTCAGTGAGTTTGTTGGGACTTAAGGTCTAGTAATATTTAAAAAATAAAATGAATATAGATGTATTACAAGTGTTAATATTTAATTCCAAATGAACCATAATATGTATATTTTTATTCGGCCTTCTACTTGATTTTTAGAGCAAGTTTTTACTTTTTTATTACATAAGTCCTCTTTATTTATGTTAAACTTGTATAGGCCCTTTTCAATTATAACTCTAGGCATTTTCACTACTTACTTTATGTACATTTACACAATTTTCTGTGTAAAGCTACACTATAATACTGTATTTTTGCTATTTTATATTTTTCAGTTGGAGCTTTACTAGTCTTGGCCCTAGATAAAATGTACCAGTTCAGCAAGGGGATAGAGAATCAAAAGATGTGGATCTACTCATAAGCAACTTCAATGAAGGAGAAATAGGTCCACTTAAGAATGGATGTTGCTGGTTTTTATTACAGTTCTAAAAGCTATCAGCCAGAGGAGACACAGCTTTAGTAGATGTTTAATCAGATTTCATTTTTAAATCATTGATGATGTTATTTTTTAAAGTAAAAAAGTGACACAAGCTAATAGACTTAAACATGTTATCCACACAGCATGAGATGTCACTTAAATATATGACACATGTTTCTAAATTATAAAACTTACCTTTAACATTAAATGGTGATCTTTACTCAACCAAATAAAAAATCATTTCAATTATTAAATTATTTGTTCAACAATAATTGTAAATTAAATTATATCAATTCTATGATAACATACACATAACATGGATGAAATATCATGAATATTGACAACATTTAGATACAATTTTAGTAATCTAAAATCAGTTTAGCATTGTACTTCTTTCTTGCAAAAAAGTAGTTGCGCAGAACAAAAATGACTTTTTAAATTTGACCAACATTGTAACAAAACCACATAAGCTAAGTGAAATATTTTTACTTTGTGTGGATGTATACAATGTTGGCACCAATTAGGCCAATTTTCATTAAGATATTCCATATAATAAAAATTTGGCAACAGATTATGTGTTGCCTATAGCAGAATTTATTGTTTAAAATTAAGGGGGGTATATGAGTTTAAACCCCTTTTTCATTAAATAAAATATTTTAAAAATCAAATTTGAACAATGGTAATATCAAAGTATATAATAACCTTCATGTTTACAATATTTCTTGCATATAAGCAAAGTAATCTAAAATCAGCTCAACATTGTACTTCTTTCTTGCAAAAAAAGTTGCGCAGAATAAAAATGACTTTTTTTATTTTGTCCAACATTGTAATAAAACCACATAAGCTAAGTAAAATGTTTTGACTTTCTGTTAATGTATACAGTGTTGGCACTATTCAGGCCAATTTTCAGTAAGATATTCCATATAATAAAAATTTGGCAACAGATTGTGTGTTGCCTATCAAAGACGCTTATTCAAAAATTTTAGGGGGGTGACCCTCTTTGTTAACATTATTTTTTATGATCATTCTCATCCACTTCAATTATTTTTATCTTACTCTTTTACTGATATCATGAGCTTGATCTTAGTGAATTTTCATTAAAAAATACCTGCTATTTATAAAGTTACAGAGATTTTAGTTCGCATCCAAAAAAGTAGGGAAGCAAAAAATTGAGAAAACCCCATAGTAAAAAAACCCGAAAATTAAATACGTTAAAAATTCATAACTCCGTAACCGTTTGAGCTAAAATTAAAATAAAAGTATCTTTGTTCTTGTCTAAATGAGCTCTATAAACTGGTGCTACTACATTATTTATTTTTTTTAAATTGAAATTTCATCCAAGTCCCTAATATTAATAGTAATACTTCTTAGACTTAATAAACTAGCTACTAGTTCTAGAGATTATTATAATTATAGCAACTATCAACTAGTAGCAGGATTTCTAGATCGGATGTACCTGGAACTCTAGATCTATAAGTAATTTAAGTATTATGTATAGTATTGTATAGGCCTACTGTAGATCTAGATCTAGATCTATATTTATTTAGTAGATTCTAGTAGTGTTTTGTCTCAATACAACGCAGAAACGATAGTTAATTAAGATAAACTTCCGGGTGAATAAACATAACAATCTAAACTAATGGTATTTTAAAAACTACAACCGGAAGTATTTGTGCAAACAATTTAAAGTTCGCAAATTTGTACATTGAAACTAACTAATCTCTACAATAGATTAGATATCATAATAATATTAGTATAGTAATAGTAATAGTGATTCTAGGCCTGAATCTAGAATCTGACTATCTCTAGGTCTCTTGAGTAGATTCTTGGCTTGTGGTATTATTAATAATTTAATAATTAGTATTGCCGATCGGATATTGCCCATTCACATTCATTAACAAAATTAACATTATAACATTCCCTCATTCATTCAAATAATAAAATTAATAAATTATTAGGCCTACATCTTTATAATATAATAGGCCATTTAATACTAGATAGGGCCTATATTCATGGAGCCTATTTATTTTTACGTAATTCATTATTGGCATTGGCTCAATATTTACGAACTGTTAGTACTTACTTTAGTACTTAGTAGTACAGTAAGCCTACTACTTACCTACTACTACTTACTACTGAAGTTACTATTGAATTGACTTTGGGAAGTAGGCATTTTGATGAAATAATCGAATGATTTTTTTTAGAGATACAGATGTCCAATAATTAATTATTATTTATTAATATTAACAGACTCTTCCATAAAATTAATAAAGTTGGTGTGTTGGGTTGTTATTATAAGTAGTTAGATCTGGTATTAGTATTGTAATCTCAGCTAATTTTATTTTTATGGTTAGACATTAGGGTTAAGCGTATGGTAGGACTAGCCTAGGGTTAAGGACGGGGTTAGCATTGACATTAGCCAGCAATGTGTGTATACTATTTAGTTAACTACCAGTAACCTAACACCTCTTTTCTTAAAGGAGATTCTATTATTGGACACTGGTATATAAAAATTCCCCCATCTAGTCAATTTAGCATATTAACTTTCTGTGCAATGTCATTATAACTCAAATTTGAAAAAATTCCAAAGCCAGGTCTTAAAGACAAATAATTAGATTGGATAAAGGACATTTTTTTCAAAAAAATAATTATCTTTACAAAACAGAAATAGACTGTAAAACCTATTAACTAATAACATGGCAATAAAAAAACCTTTTTTGCAATTTTCACGCATTAACACTACATAAAAGTATATTTTGAGCATGGTTATTGGCAGGATTTTCTATGGGAACACATCTTATACCGACTGTACCAAACACAGCAAAAGTTGCCGACATGTCCTAATCCCTTATTTTATTCTTTTTATTAAATGCTGCATCACTAGTCAAGTGTCTTTTTGAAACTCTGGTTAAACAACTTCATTAGGAAGCAGAGATCAATCACTATTATTTTCTGATTCAGTAGAAAGCAGAGATCAATCACTATTATTTTCTGATTCATTAGGAAGCAGGGATCAATCACTATTATTTTCTGATTCAGTGTAGTAAGTTGATGGACCAGCTCCTTTCATCAGTTGTGTCACCATCTAATTGTGTCACCATCTAGTTGTGTCACCATCTAATTGTAACCTCCAGGAGACACTCATCCTCTTTTCCTTATAGATAATTCTCAGTTGACCGGATATCTAGAAAAATATATGAATACTATAAGAATTGAAAGGGAACACATTTTTTTATCATATTGTTTTATAATAGGTTTGGTTTAAACCAACTTTAGAATGTTATCCCAGGCCTACACTACAGTGTCAAATTCATAAATAAAAGTGAGCTCTGTTCATTTTTAACGTTTTATGTCTGCTGAATAAAATTTACCATAAGATCTATAGTATATATAGAAGTATGGACCATGATTAGTCTATAGATATACATAATGTATATGCTAGTTACTGTAGGCAAGACAATTTTCTGCCATACATATAACTATCAAATCTTACTACTAGAACTAGACTTAGGCATGCAAATAAACTTTACTAAACTAGCCTGCAACTGCTATCTTTTTTTTTGTTATACTTTTACTACTAGAAATCTAAATTTAACTACAATATCTGTTATGTAAACCATATGCTAACCTTCTTCTAAATATCATATTTTGAGTACATTTTGATAATTTATTATCAAAATAATATTTATGTCAATCCACATAAAAAATCTGCCCTTTCCAAGAAATCCTAAAAAAATGACCATATGCCCCGACAGTACTCCAAAGTATTTGTGTAAACATTGATTTAATACAAAGACAATTTGATTAAAATTGAAGATGCCAATAAAAAATATCTGGGCTTGAAAAGTTGAATATTAAGGTAAAACAGAGAAAAATTTAGTACACATGTGAGATCTGTACAGCATGATTGTGAACTACCGATCCTGGAAGAGATTTAAAATAGTGCAGCTCTGAAAAAAATGGATCTCGTCACCTACATGTGACTCTGGGGAGATAATACTATTAATTATATCAATAATTAAAAAGTTCTTCTTGAATTAAAAATGATACAGGCATTAAATTAAAGTGGTACTTATTAGTACCATCAGTAGATAAAGGGTTAAGCATATTTGTATAGCATATTTTACCTGTTTTCAGTCAAGAGCAATGCCTGACATGTGTAAATCTTGTGGGGAGACAGCTGTGATAGAGGTTGATTTGGATGGCCAAGGTATTCACAAGATATGCATTGAGTGTGCATCTGTAGCCTCAGAAAACAACTCTAATGTAAGTTTTTTTCCATTTACTTTTTCCAACTCAAGTAGGCTTATTGAAAAAATTAGATGATTTGAATTTTCCTTGACTTCATTGAGCTGGGAGTATTGATATGTAATTGGTCTACAACAAATACCCAAAAGACATTTGCACAAATGTCCATGGGCAGAATGGACAATTGCCCAATGGGACGGTGTTGCCTAGCGGTAGAGCACTCGACTGCTAACTCAAAAGTCTTGAGTTTGAATCTAGGCTCAAGTCAGCAGAATGTCCCTGAGTCTTCCCAGCTCTGATGGGTACCTAATTCACGTTAAGGAAAGTAAAGGTGGTTGGGCATAGTGCTGACCACACTATCCCTTCACATGCTGAGGCCAGTGAAACAGAAACAGGTGAACTCTACTTCACTTGCCTGTGGACCATCAGGTTCAAAAAAGGAACTTTAACAATTGCTTGAATATCATATACCCAGAGGCTGTATGCCCGAAAAAGAAATGATATGTCTATATATATATATATATATATATATATATATATATATATATATATATATATATATAAATGAAAGTAGGTCTGTTTGTTAGTTTGCCTGTCCTTTATGCATTTACTACACCTTCATTAGAGTAGATTTCTAGGGCAAGTTCTAGAATACATTTCCCATCTGGCGTTTAAGTTTAGTATCTGTACATTTTGTGCTGTTTCACTAATTAGTAGGTTAATAAATTAGTAAAAAATGGACACCTTTCTATATTTGAAAAGGTGGGCGAGTTTGTTTTAGCCAATTAAAATCTGTCTCTGAATGCTTGACAGGGTGGCCATGGAGATGCAGCACCTGTACAAGACGTGGCCCAAGACAACGTGTGTCAGTCTTGTGGCCAAACCTTGTCGTACTCCACTGTGTCTGCAGGGCAGATGATGTGCACTGAATGTCTAGATGAGGAGGGTGAGGAAATGATAGATGATGAGACTGATGGGGCTGCTGTGGATGACAAAGGTGGGGCAAAGCTTGCGTGTATATCTTGTGCAAGTCTGGACCTGGGCATGGAGCTGCTGGGAGCCGACGAACGGCTCATCTGTAGAAGCTGCGGCTCAGTCCAGGACAGTGAAAATTTAGTGACTGATGAGTTTGGGACAGTGACTCGATCTTATGGAAATAAAACAACGACACTCCCCAAATATGCTAGCACACCCTCGGTAGTGAAAGGTCGAATAGCAGGCCATGATAAAATATCCCTGCTGCAGGATAAACTATGCTTGTCAGAGGCTATCAAACTTGAGGCAGTTGAAATGTTTGACAAAGTCTTCCCAAAGAAGGAGGTGGTGAGAACTAACATCAGAAGAAAAGAACACATTGCCGCTGCTTGTCTTTTCATTGTCTGTAGGCTGCATGAGCTGCCGGTCTGTGTCTCTCACTTCAAGCCTCATCTTGACAGGCTGGCTTTTTTTACCAAAGGAAAAAATTTGATCACTCAAAGCCTAAACTTGACCCTGCCTCAGATGAACTTTGGTACACACGTGGGAGGATTCCTGGAGGGTCGAGGTTTTGACAAGCAAATAGTGGGGAAGGTAAGGGATATTTTATTCTTGTGTCGTCGAGCCTGGCTGACAGAGGGGCGCTCAAGGGAAGGCTTGATCACACTTGCTGTCTATTACGCTTACCTCAATTCAAACTGCAAGAATGAGTTCATAAGTTTAAACAAATTTAGAAAAATGTTTGCCTTTCCTAATGTTTCTAATAAATTAAGCAAAGATTGCTGCCAGCTCTTGCTTAAACTTGCTAGAAGCCTCCCTTGGGTGGATGAAAAACTTCTCAAGCCTAACACTGTGTATCGCTATGTGGATGACATTATCAAGTACCAGAACAGTGTTTTTCATTTAGTGTTTACACAAGATTTGCCGACTGAATTCCACAAGGAAAATTGTGTGGAAGGTCAACGGGAGCTGCTGCTGCCTCCTGCAGCCAAACGGGCAAGAAAACAAAGCCCAGTGGTGGAAGTGGAAATTCCTGCCCACATTGACCTCGACTGTCCAGAGCTCAAAGATACAGACTTTGACAAGGATGAAATTGCCTCTTATATTCTGAGTGAAGAAGAGCAAGAAAACCTGAAGCACCTCAAGCAAAAAGCATTTCATCATTAGTAATTCTTAGATCCAACTCAATGAAAAAAATGTGCTCACTTGTTTTACTTGACACAGTAAATAGATTAGAGATGATTTTTTTGAATTTCTTTGAATAATAATATTTAAAAAAAATTTGTTTGTATTTACTATGCATATATTATTAATAAATACACATTGGACACTTATGCATGTCTATAGCTTTAAAAGTAAAAACAATTCATGTAGATTAAAACATTGTCAACTCATCAGTTGGTACTAGTACATTACAGTTAGAACTAGTAGTACATTCCAGTTGGTTCTAGTACATTCCAGTTGGTACTAGTAGTACATTCCAGTTGGTACTGTACATTAGTTGATACTGCACATTACAGTTTGTACTAGGAATAGGTTCAAGATTTTTGTTACCAGGTGTTAGCAATTGGCCAGAATAAAGAAATTACTTCTGAAGGCAAAGGGAGGCATCAAATTGGAATATCCAGAATAACCTGTGACTAAAATAAACATATATTTGTCATTAAAAAAAATCAAATAAAAATGAGCATTTTGATTTAATTTTAAAATAAATGAAGAAAGGAAGTCATGGCCTTTCCCCTGATATGATTGAAACAATGCACTTTTAGGAAGCCTTAGTTTTCTAGGTAAAAAAAGGCTAAAGAAAAAAATTAATCGTAAAATGAAGCTTTGAATAATCGTATTACCATAACTTTTTTTTTTAATTATAAAAAAAAGTGCTTTTAATGAACAACAAAAAAACCAAGACATGTTGAGTTTTCATGAGTTTAATAACATATTTAACAAAATGTTTTTTAAGCATACATTGTACTTTTGAAAAACACAAGCACACATTTATTCCGAGGAGTTTTCTTCCACATCATCCACAACAATAGACGCAGATGACTCACGACTTCCTCTGGCTATTTCTGACAGATCCAGCACAAGCCTCTCTCTGTGCTTGTCTTTGTTACCTCCCCTGTCCTTGTGTTCTTTACCTCCCCTGTCCTTGTGTTCTTTACCTCCCCTGTCCTTGTGTTCTTTCTCATGCTTGTGCTTATGTTTATGCTTGTGTTTATTTTTCTTTTTCTTCTTCTTGGATTTGTGGTGAGCTCTCTCTCTGTCCCTGGCTTCACTGGCAGCAACTAAATGAAAGGAGAATTGATAAGCCAATAAATTACAGTTTCTCTAGCCACTGGCTCTAACATACAGCTTTACACCACTAGACTGATCAAAACAAGTTCTTCACCCTACCAGTTGCAGCACCAACCCACCCCCTCTACCAGTTGCAGCACCAACCCACCCCCTCTACCAGTTGCACCAACCCATCCACCCTACCAGTTGCACCAACCCACCCACCCTACCAGTTGCAGCACCAACCCACCCACCCTATCTTATCAAGGCACCAACCCACCCACCCTATCTTATCAAGGCACCAACCCACCCACCCTATCTTATCAAGGCACCAACCCACCCACCCTACCAGTTGTACCAACCCACCCACCCTATCTTATCAAGGCACCAACCTGCAGCACTAAGATTAAATATAGTCTTGAGACTTGGCTTTGGTGGTTCAGTTAGGCTGGAGTGGGCGGAGCTGGAGTGGGCGGAGCTGGACGGTACCATGGAGGTGGAGACAATCAGTGGAGGGATTTTCTTGCTCTCTGGGCCTTCCATGCTGGTGGCGCCACTCAGTTTTCTCTTGAATGAATGGGGTGGGCTGCTGACATCAGTGAGCTGTAACACTGGCATGGTGGGGTGGGACTGGGCTCCAGGGGACAGCACACAAAGTGGGGGTGACATTCCCAAAGTGGGAGGGGAGGGAGAGGGCTCATATTTGAACTCCGGCTTCATTCCCAAAGTGGGAGGGGAGGGAGAGGGCTCATATTTGAACTCAGGCTTCAAGTCTAGACTGTGCCAGACCAAGGGAGGGGAACGGGTGCGAGTTTGTGGCGGGGTGGTTGGGGGTGGGGACTGGGGGGTGGTAGGGGTTGGAGACTGAGGAGTGGTGGGGGGTGGGGACTGAGGAGTGGTGGGGGGTGGGGACTGGGGTGTGGTAGGAGGGTGAGAATGAGGGGTTGTGGGAATAGGGGACTGGGGGGTGGTTGGTCTGGAGGAATGGACAGAGAACGGAGAGTCAGGTTTGACAACAACTTCCTCCTTGACAACAGGCCACTGCTGGGGTTGGTAGAATTCCAGGGGCTGAACTTTAACCTCTGGCTTCTCCTCTTCTACCATGTAGCCAGGGGAGCTCTTAGGCTCCATCAGGGGAGACGACCCATCAGGGGCTGGGCAGGGAGATAAGTCTTGTGGGTCTTCCATCTGGTTGGATGAGGTCAACCCAGTGGGATCTCTTTTGATGACATTATCCAAAGAAATGATGACATCATCCGGATGACCTGAGCAGAACAACAGAAAACTTTGTGACAGTGGTTAGAGTGACATTACCATTGTTAGAGTGACATGACATTACCATTGTTAGAGTGACATTACCATTGTTAGAGTGACATTACCTTTGTTAGAGTGACATTACCATTGTTAGAGTGACATGACATTACCATTGTTAGAGTGACATTACCTTTGATAGAGTGACATGACATTACCATTGTTAGAGTGACATTACCATTGTTAGAGTGACATGACATTACCATTGTTAGAGTGACATTACCATTGTTAGAGTGACATTACCTTTGTTAGAGTGACATTACCATTGTTAGAGTGACATGACATTACCATTGTTAGAGTGACATGACATTACCATTGTTAGAGTGACATTACCATTGTTAGAGTGACATGACTTTACCTTTGTTAGAGTGACATTACCTTTGATAGAGTGACATGACATTACCTTTGTTAGAGTGACATTACCTTTGTTAGAGTGACATGACATTACCTTTGTTAGAGTGACATTACCTTTGACAGAGTGACATGGTGATAGAGATTCTTCACTTAAACCACTGACACTGTTTGGCTGAGATAAGTCCACATGGACTGGAGCAGCTTCTAGTTGTTCTAGTTCTAGTTTCATCTAAAAAAAAATGACAGAATTCTTTTTAGTGCCATTCTAGAAGTTTGGGCAACAAGTCTGGACGTAATCAAATGGTCAAAAAGTTTGGGCAACAAGTCTGGATGTAATCAAATGGTCAAAAAGTATGGGCAACAAGTCTGGATGTAATCAAATGGTCAAAAAGTTTGGGCAACAAGTCTGGACGTAATCAAATGGTCAAAAAGTTTGGGCAACAAGTCTGGATGTAATTAAATGGTCAAAAAGTATGGGCAACAAGCCTGGATGTAATCAAATGGTCAAAAAGTTTGGGCAACAAGCCTGGATGTAATCAAATGGTCAAAAAGTTTGGGCAACAAGTCTGGACGTAATCAAATGGTCAAAAAGTTTGGGCAACAAGCCTGGATGTAATCAAATGGTCAAAAAGTTTTACCGTGAGTTCTGAAGGCTGAAGGTGTGGATGGAGCGGCTCAGTGACCACGGACTCTTCCAGGGCGACAGTCTGTTCTCCTGAGATCATGCTCAAGTCTACTGGCGTCTGATCCAAGTTCTAGATTCAAATAGACAGGAATATTTAGCTCTACACCAAATGGACAGGAATATTTAGCTCTACACCAAATGGACAGGAATATTTAGCTCTACACCAAATGACTGACAAATTAGTGTCTAGCTATGTTCTACACTTTTTAACAAAAAAAAATAGTGTCCCGTTCAACTATAACGCTTTTGTCGAAGTTTGTTCCGCTTTATCAAAAAAAAAAAAAAAATGAAAATTAAGAATTAAAAAAAAAGGAATTAAAAAAAAAAACCCAGGGAAAAGCGATTATTTCCCTTTGGTACAAGTTTACTTACAATAACAAGGATTGTGTCAAAAGTTTACTCAAGTTTTTTCAGGTTACTAAGTCTATGCTAAAAACAAAAGTTAAGCTGATATTAAACTACCTATATATAACTATAGGCCTACTAAACACATGCTTGTATCTGTTCTACTAAGAAAAACGTCAGACTTATTTGGTGGCCAGGGGGAGGTCTGTCCACACCAAATTCATGTTTCCCTATACTTACATCATCAACACCATCCAAATTACTTACATCATCAACACCATCCAAATTACTTACATCATCAACACCATCCAAATTACTTACATCATCAACACCATCCAAATTACTTACATCATCAACACCATCCAAATTACTTACATCATCATCACCATCCAAATTACTTACATCATCAACACCATCCAAATTACTTACATCATCAACACCATCCAAATTACTTACATCATCAACACCATCCAAATTACTTACATCATCAACACCATCCAAATTACTTACATCATCAACACCATCCAAATTGACTTGAACAATAGATGGGGGAATAATGTCAGCCATGTCATGGACAGGGGAGGCAAATATGCTAGACAATTCTGGGTTCCAGACAGCGATGCTACTGTGTGGAGTTAGAGAGACACTCAAATCATCACTTGGCACCTGCAGAAATTCAATTGGTTTTCACAAAAACCAAAGCACAGAAAAACAAACGGATGAAACAATCTAAGACAAGACAGAGCCCACTATATCAATGACCTTGACCTACAGACCTCTGATTTCTTTTCTCTCTCCGTTTGTTTAACATTCTGGAGAAAAAAAATGTATTTTTTAAGTGGCAGCTATAAAATCTAGCTGTTTTAATGTGCAGCTATAAAATCTAGCTGTTACATGTGGCAGCTATAAAATGTAGCTGATACATGTGGCAGCTATAAAATCTAGCTGTTTTAATGTGCAGCTATAAAATCTAGTTGTTACATGTGGCCGCTATAAAATCTAGTTGTTACCTCAGGTATGGGCAAGCAGGTAGGTCTCTGACGCCCGTAGAGCGTAAAGTACAGGTCAGCTAATCCACATCTGAGCCGGCTGTCTGACGACACGTGGCTGAAACAAATGGAGTCAATTGGCATCATATGCCACACAGACAAGCACTGACCACATCATATGCCACACAGACAAGCACTGACCACATCATATGCCACACAGACAAGCACTGACCACATATGCCACACAGACAAGCACTGACCACATCATATGCCACACAGACAAGACAAGCACTGACCACAGCATATGCCACACAGACAAGCACTGACCACATCATATGCCACACAGACAAGACAAGCACTGACCACATCATATGCCACACAGACAAGACAAGCACTGACCACATCATATGCCACACAGACAAGCACTGACCACATCATATGCCACACAGACAAGCACTGACCACATATGCCACACAGACAAGCACTGACCACATATGCCACACAGACAAGCACTGACCACATCATATGCCACACAGACAAGCACTGACCACATCATATGCCACACAGACAAGCACTGACCACATCATATGACACACAGACAAGCACTGACCACATCATATGCCACACAGACAAGCACTGACCACATCATATGCCACACAGACAAGCACTGACCACATCATATGCCACACAGACAAGCACTGACCACATCATATGCCACACAGACAAGCACTGACCACATCATATGCCACACAGACAAGCACTGACCACATCATATGCCACACAGACAAGACAAGCACTGACCACATCATATGCCACACAGACAAGCACTGACCACATCATGTGCCACACAGACAAGACAAGCACTGACCACATCATATGCCACACAGACAAGCACTGACCACATCATATGCCACACAGACAAGCACTGACCACATCATATGACACACAGACAAGCACTGACCACATCATATGCCACACAGACAAGCACTGACCACATCATATGCCACACAGACAAGCACTGACCACATCATATGCCACACAGACAAGCACTGACCACATCATATGCCACACAGACAAGCACTGACCACATCATATGCCACACAGACAAGCACTGACCACATCATATGCCACACAGACAAGCACTGACCACATTATATGCCACACAGACACCCACTGACCACATCATATGCCACACAGACACGCACTGACCACATCATATGCCACACAGACAAGCACTGACCACATCATGTGCCACACAGACAAGACACGCACTGACCACATCATATGCCACACAGACAAGCACTGACCACATCATATGCCACACAGACAAGACAAGCACTGACCACATCATATGCCACACAGACAAGACAAGCACTGACCACATCATATGCCACACAGACAAGCACTGACCACATCATATGCCACACAGACAAGCACTGACCACATCATATGACACACAGACAAGCACTGACCACATCATATGCCACACAGACAAGCACTGACCACATCATATGCCACACAGACAAGCACTGACCACATCATATGCCACACAGACAAGCACTGACCACATCATATGCCACACAGACAAGCACTGACCACATCATATGCCACACAGACAAGCACTGACCACATCATATGCCACACAGACAAGCACTGACCACATTATATGCCACACAGACACCCACTGACCACATCATATGCCACACAGACACGCACTGACCACATCATATGCCACACAGACAAGCACTGACCACATCATGTGCCACACAGACAAGACACGCACTGACCACATCATATGCCACACAGACATGCACTGACCACATCATATGCCACACAGACACGCACTGACCACATCATATGCCACACAGACAAGCACTGACCACATCATGTGCCACACAGACAAGACAAGCACTGACCACATCATATGCCACACAGACACGCACTGACCACATCATATGCCACACAGACAAGCACTGACCACATTATATGCCACACAGACAAGCACTGACCACATCATATGCCACACAGACAAGCACTGACCACATCATATGCCACACAGACAAGCACTGACCACATCATATGCCACACAGACAAGCACTGACCACATCATATGCCACACAGACAAGACAAGCACTGACCACATCATGTGCCACACAGACAAGACAAGCACTGACCACATCATATGCCACACAGACAAGCACTGACCACATCATATGCCACACAGACAAGCACTGACCACATCATATGCCACACAGACAAGACAAGCACTGACCACATCATATGCCACACAGACAAGACAAGCACTGACCACATCATATGCCACACAGACAAGCACTGACCACATCATATGCCACACAGACAAGCACTGACCACATCATATGACACACAGACAAGCACTGACCACATCATATGCCACACAGACAAGCACTGACCACATCATATGCCACACAGACAAGCACTGACCACATCATATGCCACACAGACAAGCACTGACCACATCATATGCCACACAGACAAGCACTGACCACATCATATGCCACACAGACAAGCACTGACCACATCATATGCCACACAGACAAGCACTGACCACATTATATGCCACACAGACACCCACTGACCACATCATATGCCACACAGACACGCACTGACCACATCATATGCCACACAGACAAGCACTGACCACATCATGTGCCACACAGACAAGACACGCACTGACCACATCATATGCCACACAGACATGCACTGACCACATCATATGCCACACAGACACGCACTGACCACATCATATGCCACACAGACAAGCACTGACCACATCATGTGCCACACAGACAAGACAAGCACTGACCACATCATATGCCACACAGACACGCACTGACCACATCATATGCCACACAGACAAGCACTGACCACATTATATGCCACACAGACACGCACTGACCACATCATATGCCACACAGACACGCACTGACCACATCATATGCCACACAGACACGCACTGACCACATCATATGCCACACAGACAAGCACTGACCACATCATATGCCACACAGACAAGCACTGACCACATCATATGCCACACAGACAAGCACTGACCACATCATATGCCACACAGACAAGCACTGACCACATCATATGCCACACAGACAAGACAAGCACTGACCACATCATATGCCACACAGACAAGCACTGACCACATCATGTGCCACACAGACAAGAAACGCACTGACCACATCATATGCCACACAGACACGCACTGACCACATCATATGCCACACAGACAAGCACTGACCACATCATATGCCACACAGACAAGACAAGCACTGACCACATCATATGCCACACAGACAAGCACTGACCACATCATATGCCACACAGACAAGACAAGCACTGACCACATCATATGCCACACAGACAAGCACTGACCACATCATATGCCACACAGACAAGACAAGCACTGACCACATCATATGCCACACAGACACGCACTGACCACATCATATGCCACACAGACAAGCACTGACCACATCATATGCCACACAGACAAGCACTGACCACATCATATGCCACACAGACAAGCACTGACCACATCATATGCCACACAGACAAGCACTGACCACATCATATGCCACACAGACAAGCACTGACCACATCATATGCCACACAGACAAGACAAGCACTGACCACATCATATGCCACACAGACAAGCACTGACCACATCATGTGCCACACAGACAAGACAAGCACTGACCACATCATATGCCACACAGACAAGCACTGACCACATCATGTGCCACACAGACAAGACAAGCACTGACCACATCATATGCCACACAGACAAGCACTGACCACATCATGTGCCACACAGACAAGACAAGCACTGACCACATCATATGCCACACAGACAAGACAAGCATTGACCACATCATATGCCACACAGACAAGCACTGACCACATCATATGCCACACAGACAAGCACTGACCACATCATATGCCACACAGACAAGCACTGACCACATCATATGCCACACAGACAAGCACTGACCACATCATATGCCACACAGACAAGCACTGACCACATCATATGCCACACAGACAAGCACTGACCACATCATATGCCACACAGACAAGCACTGACCACATCATATGCCACACAGACAAGCACTGACCACATCATATGCCACACAGACAAGCACTGACCACATCATGTGCCACACAGACAAGCACTGACCACATCATATGCCACACAGACAAGCACTGACCACATCATATGACACACAGACAAGCACTGACCACATCATATGCCACACAGACAAGCACTGACCACATCATGTGCCACACAGACAAGACAAGCACTGACCACATCATATGCCACACAGACAAGACAAGCACTGACCACATCATATGCCACACAGACAAGACAAGCACTGACCACATCATATGCCACACAGACAAGCACTGACCACATCATATGCCACACAGACAAGACAAGCACTGACCACATCATATGCCACACAGACAAGCACTGACCACATCATATGCCACACAGACAAGCACTGACCACATCATATGCCACACAGACAAGACAAGCACTGACCACATCATATGCCACACAGACAAGACAAGCACTGACCACATCATATGCCACACAGACAAGCACTGACCACATCATATGCCACACAGACAAGACAAGCACTGACCACATCATATGCCACACAGACAAGCACTGACCACATCATATGCCACACAGACACGCACTGACCACATCATATGCCACACAGACAAGCACTGACCACATCATATGCCACACAGACAAGCACTGACCACATCATATGCCACACAGACAAGCACTGACCACATCATATGCCACACAGACAAGCACTGACCACATCATATGCCACACAGACAAGCACTGACCACATCATATGCCACACAGACAAGCACTGACCACATCATATGACACACAGACAAGCACTGACCACATCATATGCCACACAGACAAGCACTGACCACATCATATGCCACACAGACAAGCACTGACCACATCATATGCCACACAGACAAGCACTGACCACATCATATGCCACACAGACAAGCACTGACCACATCATATGCCACACA